TGGATGTATCTGAAGATATGTTCCAAATTATACCCAAAGCTTTTATTTCGCTTGATTCTTGAATTTTTTCAAGACGACTCGTAGGAATTGAAGAAAGTACTTCTTGACTATTTAAAATCCATTCACGTAGAGACATTCCCGCCTTTTCGAATACTTCACATAATTCTTTTCGTAATTTGTTACTCTTCTCAACAGTTTCACATGTAAACAACAGATCATCTACGTAAAAATTTGATCGAATCAATTCACAAGCATTTGGATATACATGCTGATAATCATCTGCTAGTTGATTTAATGCTCTCGGTGCCAAATTAAGAGCACATGATGTTCCATAAGTTACAGTATTCAAGTTGAAATGTTTGAATTTCTCATTTGGACCATCTCTCCAAATAATGCGTTGATAATTCTGATGCGATTCATTTACAAGAATTTGTCTGTACATCTTAGCAATATCAGCTTTTAATGCTATTGGTTTTGTTAAGAATTTTATGATGAGATCATAAAGTTCTGGTTGTATTGTTGGTCCAATAAATAACGTTTCATTAATTTTGTTGTTGTACTATCTTCCTTCACAACTCCATGATGTGGAAGATAATAACACGATTCAAAAAGTGACGTTAAATTTTTCAATTCAGTCATATGTCCCAATTCTTCATATTCATTTATGAACTTTTTGTATTCACGATAATACAAATCAATTTGCTTGAATCTGTTTTCTAAGCCTCTAAATCGATTAATTGCATTATTCAAGTTATTGCCAAGATTGGTGTAATTTGATTTAAATGGAAGATCAACCACATATCTTCCACTTCCGTCTCGAACTGTTGTGGCCCTAAATATCTCTTCACATGTTTTTTGATCTTCAGTCAGCAGTCTGTTTTTATTTTCACATTGTTCAATCATCCTTAACTTCTCCAGTTGTTGTTTAAGTGATGGCTGCTGTAACATTGATAATAATGTTGTCTTTAAGTTTTCATTGTATTCTGCATTTCCGCTAAACATCCATCCAAACTTTGTATGAATTAATAATCCATTGTTAGATATTTGATGTCTGTTTTCAATACAGCATCATAAAATATCTTGCAACCAATCAATATGTCAACATCACTTGGAACGTTAAATTCTGGATCAGCCATTAAAATTTTATTATGTATTTGAAATTTCTTAGTTTCAAAATAATGAGTAGGTAACTGATCTGTAATTACAGGAAAAATATCGAGAGTTATGCTATTTTTGAAATTACCATATCTTGGATATCTTGACTTAATCGTTGCGACAGCTTCGTATTTTACATCAGTAGGAATATTATTGATTCCCTTTATTTCTCTATTAATTTTTCTAAGAGATAAGCCAAGTCGTTTTACTGTTGCTTCTGTGATGACATGTCCATTACTACCAGAATCCATAACAGCTTTTATGACTTGCCATTTACCTTCTTTGTCACAAATCAATATTTTTACTGTTGATAGTACAGTTTGAGTTGATGACAGTAATGCTTTATTGTTTATCACTAATCTTTTGTCTGATGAACTGCTTGTTGATGATTTTTCGAAAGCTTCTTCGTCTGATGCTTTAACTCGATGAAGTGTCGTATGATGTCTATTTCCATATGTATTGCAATTTTTTGAACTTATACATTTCTTTGCAATATGTTCAGGTCTTAAACAATTCATACATAGTTTGAGCTTCGAAACTATTTCAAATCTTTTGTCAATGTTCTCTCTGAGAAATGATGGACAGTTACTGTTCAAGTGATTTTGTAAACAAATTGAGCAAACAAGACTAACAGGTTTATTGTTTGACAAGAAAGTTTTCCTATTTTGCTTATTCTCTTGTTGATATTTCGAAATGTTGGAATTGATGAGTCACTAGCCGTATATTTTACTGACTTATTTCTTCCTTCAAAAATTTACATAACTCATGAAATGTTGGTTTATGAGTATTAATGTTCAAGTCCCATTCTCCTCTGGTAAATTTATCAAGTCTATCTCTGATCATCTTTTCGTACATCAAATCCATAAACTCATGATCAGTTACATTCAGTTTTACAAACGATGACCTCATGCTGACGTATGAATCCACCAGCTTTAATATATCTTGAGTCTTGTAAATCTTCTCAACTTTGAACAATGAATCTATATATTCTAATAACATTGCTCTACGATCATCAAATCTCGAACATAATGCTTCCCAAGCATTTTCATACGTGTCATCTGTCACTTGATAATTATTGAGGATGTTTTGAGATGCAGATTCTATCTTTATAGAACTTTTCAAATAATGAAACTTGTCGATGTTAGAGAATGATGAATTCGTGTGTACTAAAAGTACTGATACGAAAGTATCACGGAAAGTTAACCATTTGTCGAAACTTCCATCAAATTCTGGCAATTTGATTTCTGGTAACTTGACTTTTCTTACTTGATGGTGTTGATCTACATTTTCTCGAATTGTAACATCAAACTGTCTTTCTGATTTTGCTTTTATTTTATTAAACAAAAATTTAAAACTATATGCTTCGATGTTATTTGCTTTTTGATCTAGATCAACATCATCCTTCTTTAAGTTTTGATAATCATTGTAATGTTGCATAAATTTAATTAGATAATTATCTAGAAAGTTATAAGCTGTATCATATCATCGATGTCTTAATAATCAATTCCTGGTTCATGTATTTCCATCAAAATTTCATATGCATCAATAATGGATCGCATTTCTATTTTTTGAGCAAGTATAATTTGAATCTAGCCCTTGAACCAGTTCAATCAACTCCAATTCACTGAATTCTTTTCTTGACCAAACTTCAATTTGTTGATAATTCACTTTAATTATTTAATTTCAATTTCAAAGCGTACTTGTGTTGCGTTGCAAATTTCTCAATTTCTCAATTTCTCCAACTTCTTAAGATTCCAACTTTTCCAATCGCAAGGTTCGAAGGACCATGTAAAAACGATAGCAAGTTGATTTTCCAGTGCACTGTATTTCAATTCCAATAATAAAAAGAATTACAAAAGAAAATTCTATTTATTCACAATTTCAAATTCTACGTGATCAATTTCCAAATTATCAATTTCAACTAATATCAAATATATTCCAAGCCTCCTTATATCATGATGAATTCCATTCATCAAAACCATCAAAAAACTAAAGCCATAATTTTGCCAGTTCAACTACTTCTCGGGAAGTGCAACACGTTCTATTCCAAAATCGAATGACAGCAAAGCACAATTTCATTCATTGTGGATAGCATAAAAATAAAAATGCATTCTCATGACGTTCTCAAATCGATTTTAAGGAGAGGAAATAAAAATATAAATTGGATGCTCGTTCTTCTTTATTGTCTATACAGTTAAGCTTTATATATGGATATATACGTCTATTATATGTGGCATGGAAACGACAAAGTTATATCTGCAGACTGCATAAAGATTAGTTTTTGTATATTTCGAATATACTTAATCGGAATATAATGAAATAAATTGCAGGAGATTGGAAAATTATTGAAGTGCGAAAATCCCTTAAAATTTAACTTGCTTCTATTGCCATATGATGGGAGCAATCATTTCATGTGGGAAACGAATTCTCGTATGAGTAACTAAGGTATGAATATTTGTAGATACGGAAATAAGGAAGTAAATTTTTTTTTCTCACATCCATTTCCATCATATTTCATGCTTTCACAGGTGAAAGATGAATATTCATTGAATTTTAAAATTGTCTGCTGGGAAAATTCTTTTATAGATATACGTTTTGCCATAAAAGCAATCCACTTGTGCCTACGCTTTAAGTCTTTTTAAAATTGTGACACATTTTTAATGTAAGCTACAAAGGAAGCTGACATGATTCCATTAATAACAAACACTCACTTATGGATTCTTCTTTACACTCATAGAACCTTATAGAATATGATGATGAATGATTTTTCATTCATTTTTTTTGGAAGTTCCAAGGCATGACACACGTTTTATTTGGATGAAAAAAAGTTTGAGTGTCAATGCTTTTAACAAACTTTAAGGGATTTATAGAGTTGTGGGACTCAGAATTTTAAAATTGAAAGAAGCTATACATTGAAATATTATTGTTTTTAACATATATGTCTAGAACTTTTGATTAGTTCCAATCCTGTTTCGCGGTATAAGTTGATAAATTTGCTGAAAACAACTTTCTAGCTTAGGGGCCATTCACTTATTACGTAACGCTTTTAGGGGGAGGGGGGGTCTAAGATTTTGTTACGGTTCAAACAAGGAAATTTTTTTTTCATACAAATTTTGTTACGAGGGGGGGCGGTCTAAGAAGTCATTTTTTCGAGTTACGTAATAAGTGAACAGCCCCTTAAATAAACATCTGTTTGTGCGAAGAATGTTCATTGTATCCAAATTGATCCTAAACAACACTTAAGAATGATTTTTGCCAAGCCATGAATTTAATTCGTTCCTTAATCCTGGTTCCGTTGGATTAAGGAAAAGATCTTGAAGTGTAGCGGGAGAAATACGAAATAGAGCTTCAAGATTTCCCTTTAATGCAATATTGTCAGAATGAACCTAAAATGTATCACGTCACGCCCACAAAAGATTGAAACGAGAGCCTGAATTTAATCGAAACCTAGATTTGAAGATTGGAAGCTTGATTCTACATCACCACAGTGATTTGAAATGTATCACAAATCAATGTAAAAACTTAACATGTCTAAATACGAATTCTTCCGGACGGTAACGTCAACAAAATTGAATATTAAAATATTCAGATACAACTGAATTTTTGGATGGTAAGAGATCTCGAGGTAGACCGAAGAAAAACCTCATAAAATGGCTCTGTAAGCAACGATGTGAATGTACTTCAAATTAAAATTTTCAGAAGTTGTCTAAGATCAGATCCAGTTTTAGATGAACTCTGAATGCTGCATTAGATAAGGAAGTAAGTAAGTAAATAATTTTCCTGGAAAAAGGCAAAGAAAAGAGTAAAATCAAACCTTAAAGACAGAAAACAAAATCAATTTCTTTATGAAGCACAAATAATTTTATTCCATCCTCAATTCATTAAAAACTTTTTATTTAGCAAATTTAAAGCGTCAAGCATTTCCTTTTCCTAATTAATGACTTTATTTCAATTTGGTGCTTGTGTACAGAACGTTGCATGCGGTAGCTCCTTTTATTGACTTATTTCGTCCATTAACTTCTTAATTTTATGCGGCAATAACTCTGCCATACTTTGTGTAACGCCTTTTTCACCTTTCATCCGTTCCCCGACTTCCTTGTGCTTATCGCAGTAATTTAAGAAGGTTTTATAGTTCAAAAGGCTCTTTTGCGTATTATCAAGTTGCATCTTTTTGTCAGGCGTAATAATTTTATAGAACAGTCGTCCAAGATTGAAATGTGCACAGCCAATAGCTTGATAGTCATCAATATCTAATGTTTCTGGAATTTCATTCGTTTTCTTGTCCTTGTAGCTGTCGATAAACTCTTGAAACTTCTCAATTGCTTTATGACATAACTTGTTGATCTTACTTAAAGTTTGTGGCTGAACTTCCTCAAATTTCAATTTTTCACACTTAATATCCAGCATGTCAGAATACGTCAATCCAAGCTCAAACATTAATTCTCTAAGAAGATTAAAAGACATTAAATAGAATTAACTTAATTAGCATTTAAATGCTAAGCCTTACCTGCAGATATTAAGATAAAAAGTAGGATTAAGTTCCTTCTGTACAGCTTCAAGTTGATCTGCTCTTCGTTTATGTAATTTTGCTTGATTAGCTGTATCGTCCTCAAAAAATGCTAAATGCTTAAATAGACTTGCATAATCCTGAATTATTCGTGCATATTGCGATGCCTCACTATCCAAGTTATAATATTCTTTAGCTTTATTAAGATAAGACTGTGCCTCTAAAAAGACATGCTTTGCATCTTCATACGTCAGCACAAATTGGTCTGTGACTTGTTGCTCATATACACTTAATTCTAATGGAAATCTTTCACAGCTAGTGTTGATTTTGAATTGTGCAGCATCAGTGTCTGTTCCTGACTCATCTTCCTGCAGTAAACGTTCAATTGATGTTTTAATGATGTACATGCAATATTTCGCAAAGCATAAATCGACGTCAGCTGTTCTGTGCTTGAGATTCTCAGTTGCTGCTGCTCTTTGATCTTCTAACAATTCACAAGCTTCAAGATCTACTGAAAAATTAGCTAGCATGTAACTGGAAGCAGCTAATAAATGTCTTGACTGTTTAAGCATATTCTTGCCGAAATAATATTGTGATAATGTTGCAGAATTTAATGCCCATTCAACTGGATCATAATCTTTCAGTTCCAATTGTCTGTTTAATGTCAAATGACAATATTTTGCGGATGTATCCAAATCTCCAAGTTGCCCAAATACTTGAGCGAGATAGAAATAAGTTAATGTGCAAGTTTTCTCTAAACTCACTTGTCCTTTTCCCTTTTCAATCTCATCGGAAGTTCCAAATACATCGAAAATCGTCAGTGGCTGGATCTTAGACATTTCTTTAAATTGATTTGCTGTTTCTTCACTTTTTAATAAGTACGACTTAGATTTTTCGACATCATCTAGTTTAGACCATAAGATACCAAGTTGATTAAGCACATCCACAAAGCAAACGATGATTTTTAAGCTGTTTTTATCAACTTCCAGCAATTCAATTGTTCTTTGAAAATATTTCTGAGCCAGCGATGTCTCATCCACAAACATGCTTATTTTGCCAATATCCTTCATTACGTATCCTAAAATAGCATTAATAGTCAGCCTGTCATCCTCATCGTCCTTAAAACTGTCGGAAACATTCAATAAATTTTTCTCTAATTCACAAAGAATTTCTCGTGCTCGATAATGATTTTTATAAGGCTCCAAAGTCTCAGTCTTGGTTTCCTCGATCAGCTTCTGTGCTTCCTCAAACTTTTCCTTAAAATCACTTAATTTTTCCTTCAAAATTGTCATTTTTAAAATGATTTTAATTATTTCAGACCGAAAATCAATGTAAACAAATAGTAATATAATTTGCTTTGTTTGTCTGTTTAATTTCTATTTGATACAGTATAAGGCTGCAGTTCATATAAAGCGATTGTAGATTTAAAGATAACCAGATTTAATTATTTGGATGTTGTTCATTCAGAAAAGTTTTTTAAAGCGAAATTAAGTTTGAATCCCGTCATGTTTGATGATATGTTATGATCTAGTGTAAATGTGTAAAACTGATGTGTAAACAGATTCAAAATAAAATATACAGTTGAAAAATTTAAATGTTGAAAAATCGTTATGTTCGATAAAAAATTTATTAATCATTTGTTCGTTAATTGGTGTATAAAAATAGATAGTAAGTATATACGTGATTAAAAATGTAAAATGTCTATGACAAATATAAAATAAAATCATGTCATAACATGCATCAGCAAGTAAATGCTATTTAAAGATCCTTAACATCACTAAATTTGTATGCAGTGTTCGTAGCAACATCCAAAAATTCCTTTTTACAGGCACAAACACATTTTAAGAGTGCGTTAACATCAGCTTCTGAATCATGACTATTTTCTGGATGCACACCGAAGTATCGTTTGTAAATTTCACGTAATGTGTAATATCCTTTTGGAAACACTTTCTTGCCATTTTTTGGTGATGTTCTAGTCGATTCTGGGAAAAGTGAGCGACGTGCAGCACTTGATGGTCGTTTTTTATTGTCACTCGGTTCTAGATTCTTAGACGGAGGACCTTTATCTTCAACTTTAACAGGCTTACTTGGCGTTGTCTCATTTTGACGCTGCCTTGCTTGGATGTCATCAACAGGCTCTGACTTGACTACTTGAGGGACATTCCTGATGAAGTCAGTCTCCAATTGAGTTATTGTCATTAAATTCTCATCCGAGTCATAATTCTTCAGCATCTGTTCAATCTCTAAAATTTCAGCGTCCATCATTAGCACTTGCTGTGTCTGGATCTTTTCCCAAGATGTCATCTTATATCCATTAATTAAAGTTCTTGAATTATCCTCGTAAATCTCATCAATCTTCCTGAATATGCTGAGTGAGTCACAACAAATCAAAGATTCAGGCAATGGCTTGTTGAGCAACTTACAGTGACTTTTAAGAATTGGATAATCAAATCTGGTTCCATTGTGTGCAACTAAGCATACCGGTTGCTGAAGATGAGTAAGGAAGTTATTAATAAGATCCACTGTACCTTCATCAAACTTCCTTTCGTTCTGTAAAAGTTCATTTGTTAATCCAGTGATTTCTGAGCAATCAAGTTTGATCAATTTTCGAGGATTTAGACACAATGATAATTTATGAAGAACTCTTGGAATTGCTTCTTTATCCTTAAGTTCCATAATATGCTCGACTGCACATGCTGTTATGCTTATTTGTGTGATTTTTGTTCTGTTGTATTCAATTGATGGCAGTCCAGTAGTTTCGAGATCAATAAATGCGAAGGTTTTAAAGGAGGATGTTGTGGATTTGACTTGTTCGGTCTGCATCTTAATACTTTATAACTTTAAGTGCTCTAAATTGCTCACTGTTACTACATTTGTTTAAATCATCAAATGTTATGCATTTAATTGCGAAATCGTAAAATTTATATAAAATATAGCTTAATTAATTTTTCGGAATGCTTTCAATAGATTACTATAGTCTAGTTTGTTCGAATGTAGTTTAATTAACATATCACAAAGGTCTTATTTCCTTAAGATTACATTTAAAATTTGTTTTGTTATCAAATTGCGTTTTGTTATGAATCAGATTGTGTTGCTATAAAATGCTGGGAAAGTATTCAGCTAGAAAGAGCATATTCACACTGTGGAATTGAAGATTCGTTGGTTCTTATAGGCAGCATGTTCAAGGATGTAACGGTTTATTTTTTAAATAGTGTTATGCAAAAATCAGTTAAGTAATTTTGAATAAATTTTCAAATTTTAAGCAACCGTTAATCTATAGTACGAACGAAGATATCTAATGGTTCAGAACTGATTATACACTAAAGTAATGGCTATAGAAAATCCCTGACTAAATAAAACATCAACTTTAATTAAAACTGTGCCAATAATCTATGTATAAACACTTTTACCTATAATTGCATCTGTGTTAGTGACTTTTCATTGTATTCAATTGTTTACAAAAAATTATTTTCAATATTCAATTATTAATTAAATTTAAAGGCAAGAGGACATAATAAAATGAGTTTAAGTAATAGAAAGTCACCAATAAGTGACCCGCATTTGATTCCACGTGTAAAACAGGTAAATAAGTGTGAATTAATAGTGAAATTTCAAGTTTTCCGAATTTTTAATACAAAAACTTTCAATTCGAGGTTAAATAAATTTTTCAATTATCGATTTTCAAAATTTTCCTCCATTTTTCGTCCTTTAGTATTTAGAGGAAAATGTTCAAAAGACATATGTTGATGTTGAAGAAATGACACAGTCATTAATGAATCGATATCAGGAATATTCGCGACGTAAAATGATTCCTTTTCGAATAATGGTAGAACATGGTAAGTAAACATCAAGCGTCTAGCTTAAACTGCCACTAATCAACTGTTATTTACAGCATACAAGACAGTTTTACATTCATATGGGATGGATAGCAATCCTGGATCGGATGTTGACGATATGGGATCAGATTTAGAAGTAATGGATGTAAGTTGAGACACATAAATTATTAAGTTATCAAATTAATGCAGTCGTTTGCATTTTAATAGGACGCTAATAATGGAAATCATTTGAATAATGCATTAAATTCACTTTATATGAAAAAGACAAACAATCCAGTCGTGACATCATCAGACCCAAAGCCAATAAGTATCGATATAAGCAGTGATGAGGAAGATGGTGAAAATAGCAAGCAAAAGTCATCAGGATCGAGTATTGATAAAGTAACTGTAACTAGAATAGCTGCAAATGGATCAAAGACTGCATCATCGACTGAAGAATTACAAAATATAATTAAATCAACATCACGTCCGGGTCCTGCATCACAAAAGAAGCGTCGTCTAAATGCAATTGAGGAATTAGAGAAGCAAACAGCAGCAGCAGCAACACCATCCTCGTCAACAACAGCTGTACAACAATCAACAGTAACAGAAAAGGCTCAAACACAATCATCAGGACCAAAACCAAAGAAATTCAGAAAGGAAGTTTTTGCCAAAAAGTCTTTAGTGACATTTGACAATATTGGTGGCATGGATAAGTCATTAAAGGAACTTTGTGAATTAGTTATGCACATTAAACATCCAGAAATGTATCGACATATTGGATTGCCACCACCTCGTGGATTCTTGCTTCATGGACCGCCTGGAAGTGGTAAGACATTGCTAGCACATGCCATTGCTGGTCAACTCGATGTCTTATTTGTTGAAGTTCCCGCTACAGAATTAATTGCTGGCGTTTCAGGCGAATCTGAAGAAAGAATTCGTGAGATTTTTGAACAAGCTGCTTCATTTGCACCCTGCGTCCTCTTTATCGATGAAATTGATGCTATATCCTCAAATCGTCAGAATGCTCAAAAAGACATGGAACGACGAATTGTGGCACAACTTATTTCATCGCTTGACAATTTATCAAAATTAAAGTTTGGTGATCAAGTTCTTGTTATTGGAGCTACAAATCGTCAAGATTCATTAGATCCAGCATTAAGACGCGTTGGACGCTTTGATCATGAGATTTCTTTAGGCATTCCAGACCGTAAAGCACGCAGTGAAATATTAAAAGTCATATCAGGAAGCTTAAAATTGGATCGTCCATTTGATTACGATGAAATTGCACTTTTAACGCCGGGTTATGTTGGAGCTGATTTATTGGCACTGACAACACGAGCTGCATCGTCTGCCATTAAACGAGCAATTAAGAAAAAGGAGGAACAAATCTTATTGGATGAAATAGCTATGAAAAAAAATGAAGCTAAGGAAACCGAGGAACTTGTTGTGGAACCAATTGTAAATCTTGACGATGATTTATTAATGGAAGTTGATAATGAGGTCGAAAAAGCTCAAGAAAAAACAGACGAAAACAAGGCAGAAATTGACAGTGAGGCAAACACTGTCGAAGAACAGCCAGCAGCTGATGATAAAGTAGAGGAACCACCAAAAATAATAGAATCAAACCTGCCAGAATCGACTTCAGAAGAAATTCCAACTGAATCTATGGAAACAACAGAATTAAGCGAATCTAAAGTTGAGGAAAAAACAGAGAAATCAGAGAATATGGAGAAACCACCAACAACGACAGAGGAAGTTCCACATATATTGCCAGAATTTACACTTGATCATATGCTTAAATGGCTCCAAAATGATATTCAGCCAATAAGTGATGAAGATCTCGAAAAGCTTGCAATCTCACGTGATGATTTTCTTGATGCTCTTAAGCATGTTCAGCCGTCAGCTAAACGTGAAGGCTTTATTACAGTTCCAGATGTTACTTGGGACAATATTGGTTCCTTAAAAGACATTCGTAGTGAATTGCAGCTAGCTATTCTTGCACCTGTTAAATTTCCTGAAAAATTGCATCAATTAGGACTGGAATCGCCATCGGGCGTTCTCCTTTGTGGACCACCGGGTTAGTTAATTAACTTTTATCTTAAATTTCTTAAAAAGTCCGTTGAATTTATGAATTATTATTGTTTTTCTTGTAGGTTGCGGTAAGACACTTCTCGCTAAGGCTGTTGCCAATGAAGCTGGCATAAACTTTATCTCAGTAAAAGGACCAGAATTGTTGAATATGGTAAGTCGATTAATATCAACGGAAGGATAATTTTAAGCTATTAAATATATTAATTACAGTATGTTGGTGAGAGTGAACGTGCAGTTCGTCAATGTTTCCAGCGAGCTAGAAATTCAGCACCATGTGTAATATTCTTCGATGAATTTGATTCTCTCTGTCCAAAACGATCCGATTCAGGCGATAATAATTCAAGTCAGCGAGTTGTAAATCAGCTTTTAACAGAAATGGACGGAATTGAAGAGCGTAAAGGTGTATTTTTAATGGCAGCAACAAATCGTCCCGACATTATTGATCCAGCTGTTTTACGGCCAGGACGTTTAGATAAAATTCTCTATGTTGGATTGCCGGAAACAGAAGATCGTGTTGATATCCTTAAAGCATTAACAAGAGTCAAGCCACCATTAGCTGATGATGTTGATCTTGTTAACATTTCATGTATGACTGAAGGATTTACAGGAGCTGATCTCGATGGACTCATTCGGCAAGCATCATTACAAACACTCAAAGAATCAATTGATAACGATGATACGATGAATGAAATGAAAGTCCACAATCGTCATTTTGTCGATGCTCTGAAGAAATTAAAGCCTTCTGTTAATGAACAAGTAAGTTGCTGACTCATTTAATGTCCACTAAAATTCAAGAATTTGAATTTTCGAAAACCGTTAAAATTTTAATTTTAAAACCCCGTTAAATTTAAACACTTATCATAATTCTTAATCTTTCAGGAACGTAAAAACTACGAGAAACTTAAGGAAAAATATACAGCATCGTAAAATTTAACAATTAATTGAAGAATAACAATCATGCAGAGATAATGTGAATTTAGGATGAGCAGAGAAATAAGCCATCGCTTACTATTAAGGACAAATTAAATATATGTTGATTTCCAAATAATTATAATACTGATAACGATACAAACAAGAAAGTACACAAACCTTTAATTTTTTTTTACAACAAAAATAAGATGATGTAACATGGTATAGAGCAAGATGCATACACATACTTAGTTTAAATTACTTTCCATTACTTTAACTATGAATTACAATAGATTGATTATGTTTTTCACTGTTTATACTGATGATAAAAAAATGAGAAAAAAGGAACAAGATAATAAAGAGAAATCTCAAGATTAAGAAGATGAAAAGTAAAAAGTTCAAGTTTAATTATGTTAATATAAAAAAATTACTGAAGTCCTCGTTTTATCGAGGGACTTAAGCGCATTTTTGTGTTAGCGATCAGTGTTTGATTATCTATTTATTTTGCGTTCATTTACAGATTATTAGAAGATTAGAAGATCATTAATTTTAGTGCAATTAGCAAATAATTACAATGAATGCTTATATAGAAAGGCTTTGTTATTTAACGGTCAAAAAATAATTTGAAATTTTTCCCGCTAAAAGTTGCACTACGAAAACATTACTTATAGTATAATTAAATAATTTGTTCCAATGAATTTCCATATATAAATTGTTTATCATTTAACGATTATTTGAGATTCAAATTTTCTAACGGTCAGTAAGTTTTTGAAAGCTTCCCGCCAAAAGATATACAAAAAATCATTAATTATAGTATATTTATCAATTTAATATCTTTCATTCTCCTATATAAATTGTTTATCATTTAACGGTTTTCTGAAGTTCAAATTTTGTAACGGTCGTATGCATTTGAAAGTATGTAAAAAAATTACAGTAAAAGCATTAATTATAGTATAAATAACAGTCTGTTGCAAAAAAAATTTTCATATAAAAAGGCTTGGTAATTTAAGTTTTTGAGATTCAAAATTTTTCAACGGTAGAAATAAATTCGAATTTCTAAACGCTCTCATCACGTTTTTTTTCATATGAAATATAAAAATCATTAATTATAGTACAAAAACACTGTTTCAAGACTTTTAAATGCGTTTCCCGAAAATAAAACAATAGACCTGAGCTAATAAAACAAACTAGAACTCTCTACGATGTCTAGTTAAAAAGTTTTTCTCCGCCCGAACGAACAGACAAAGTGAGATATTAAGCTACCTTTTAGAAACAAGTTTCAAAATTGCGCTAAAAACAGCAGCAGAACGAGAGACATCCATATAAGTAAAGGAAAAAGTCTGTGAAATGAGAATTGGAAGGCATTATAACTGATCAGTGCGATTTCAATTACTCAAAGAAGTATTGTAGGATACAAACACCTTAAAAACTAAGTTAACGAGGTCCGAGTCACTAAAATAGAAATGAATCATCAACTATAGCTTGGTTATTCTTTATTCGCAATCTTATTTCACACAATTTACAATTCAAAATCATTTAAGCAATTTTAAAACTTATTTAATGAAAAAACGCTCTTAATTTGAAGTCCTGTTGTCTTCTCATTGCTTATTCCTTGAACTCGCTGAGTCTTCTTTTTAATTGTTTCAATTTGCTTAACAAGGTCGGTTGTTCCTGCCATTTTTGATTCGACTTTTTTGAGTGCTGAACCTAATTTTGCTTCTGGAGCTTTTTTAACGGGCTGTGAATCTTTATTGGGTGATGGAGTTTTAATCTTGGTCGTTGGATAGATTTTGAGGTTTCCACCAAGATCGCCAACATTCTTTTCATTTCTCAAAATTTCTGGATTGATTTTTGGTGTTTCAACGATTCTGTGGTCGACTTGTTGAGTTAGGAACTTTAAGCATGTTGATTCAATTGATGCTGGATTAACCTGAGGGAAATAAATCACAATATTAAATTATTCAAGTCAAAAACTATCAAAAGTAACTTACCTCATCAGCTTTATCATTCGATCGCTCGCAATAAATTGGAGGCTTTGAAGGATGACAGTTTCCAATATGATTGATGATATTGTCAAAATTATTAGATCCAAAAACACAAAATACACATTGATATAGACCTAGATTGTGACAATTTATGAAATGAGTGTGAATGTTGCTCAAATCAGAGACTTTTGAACATTTTGTGCACTTTGTCTTAATATTTGGTCCATGCGTTTGCATGTGTGCTGACAATTTTGGGAACAGATAGAATTTTGCATTGCATTTGACACAACTAAGTGGAGGAACGCATCGTAATCGTGATTTTTTAACTGTTGCTAATTCCTGTTCGTAATCTCGATTTTTATCGCATTCTAATTCGTAAACTGATTTGGGCTTCATTGCATGATAAATACGTTGATGATTAATAACATTAAGGCTGACACAGCTGCGATAAAAGCAGTACTTACATTGAAACTTGTCAAAACAGTGTTCACTGTCAATATGATCTACTAATGCCATTACTTGATCTTTTTCATTAAAGATGTGATCACAGTACGAGCAATTCATATAATCTCGATCACTTGTCTGGTGTGTCTCATGAAATCTCAAGTGAGCATTAAACAGATCCCGATCTATGGTGTAAAATGAACATTTCGAAGACATACACTTGTAAGTTGAAATGATAGCTCCAACATTATTTAAGAATCTTGTAGTTGGCATTAAATATTTCTTAACTTTCCTTTTCAACCACGGACGGAGCAAATCAGCACTGCTCATATCCTTTTGACTGTCTGTAGACTTTTGTCTTTGAATAACTATTTTTTGCTCTCCACTGGTCGTTTGTGATTTTGTATAGACAGACTGTGTCGTCTTTTGAGCAGCTCCAATTGGTTGTTTTGGTTTCACAACAAGTGGACTGGATTCCTTATCTTGCGCTGGCTTGACAATTATGTGCTTTATTATTTTTTGCTTGCCATCAGGTATATTTACGGAGACTTCTTGCTGTTTTTTGTTTGTCTCAATACTGTTAGATGCTTTAGGAATTTCTGGCTGGATATCCTTTTTAGCTGAAAGAACTGCTGCAGATTTAAGTGTATCTTGTTCAGAAGAACTTGATTGATTTGAATCTGTTGATTTGATTGATTTCCTAATCTCCAACTCTGGTGATTTCGGTGATAGCGGAGTTCCTTTATAAGGGATTAGCTTTATTTTGCCAATGTCAATCTTCTTTCCAACCAGAGCTACTTTCTCAACAGATTTTATCTCCGGAGTTTTTATTTCTTTCTTGAAATCATTCTTGGTTCCATTTTCTGATTTGACAACTTCTTGCATTTTTACAATCTCAGGTTCCAAATATTCTGTTATATCAGGTAAATTGTCAGAATTTGAATCTTCTTTAAGCACGTGATTTTCTCTCATATGCATCAGCTCAAAAATTATTGAACGAGTTGCTTCAACTTTATTATTGCAAATATCACAATGTCCCAACCATTTAATTGTTAAATGCTCATTTTCAATGTGATCAACAAAGGCAGGACTGTCCATTGTTTGAAACTTACAATTTTGAACTAAGCACTTGAATATAAAGCCTGTTTTGCAAGGAATATACGACATATTTTGAACTTTTTTGGAGATTATATGATTTTTGGATGTTGCTGGTTTCTTAACGTCCTCTCTTATTGGAGCGGAAAGTTTTTCTTTTTCTGTGAAAGTAATATTAATTTCTGATTTTGCAGGAATATCTTGTTTTTTATCAACATTCTTTACAATTTGTTTAAATTCTTCTTCACTTCCTGAATCCATTTCGTTTTCGAACTCAGAATTGCCGGTATCATCTAAGTCCTCCCATTCATCGTCATCAAGCTTGCCGCCTTTATTAATTGAAGCTCTTTTAGTCAATAATGTTGCTCGACTCTTTTTCTTTAAAACTTCTTTCTTTTGATGTTTCTGGATCTTTTTACGAAGTTTATCCATTGAAGATTTTTTTAATTCCAAAGGTTTTGGTTGGTCCTCTTTTTGAACAACTTTTGGAGACTCATTTTGTTTTGAAACTTGGACTATAGGTTTTGCTGCATCTGATAAATGTTTAGAAACCTTAGGCTTTCTTTTCACAATTTTATCAACATCCACAGAATTTTTTATTTCTTGTGGAGATTTTAATATTTTAAATGGTTTTGAAATTTCTTCAAAAGCTTTTATTTCAAGAATTGTTGGCGCAGATTTTGTAACTTCAATCAATTTTGAAACTTTGTTTTTAACTTCTACAGATTCGGTAGATTTTTTAACTTTTAAAGTTAAAATTTTATGTTCAGCAACTGTAGAATTTTGCTCGAGCTTTTCATTTTCAATTGATTTGCGATTCTGTTTAACTACTTCGCAAACTTCTTTTAATTTTCTTTTTTCTGCAGGTGGTTTTGAAATTTCCACTGATTTGCGTTTTATTTGTGGTTTTATTGGATCTTCAATTGGATCGAGAGACTTTTTCGAGACCTTTCCAACAGACTTTGATATTGGTACTGGAGCTTCGATTGGTTCGTTAATCTTTAAAATTTCTTCAACATTTTCAGCCGACTTTAAACTATTCTTAATCTTTCTTGGATTTCCTAATGACCTGCGATTTTCTACAACAATCTTAGGAACTTTCGGTTCGTCCAAACTCTTTCGAGATATTTTTAAACTTGATTTAGCGACTTCTTGATTGACAATTGAATCATCTTTTGCTGATTTCCTATCAAAATCAGTTTCTGACTTTCTCTTCTTTAAATTAGGAAAGTCATCACTTTTATCCAATAACATTTCCAATGAATCGCGATAAGATCTCTTTAGCGCAGATCTTCTTTTTGTTGGAAGTGGTATCTCATCTGAAATATGAGAAAAGGAATTTAAATAATCGAAAAAAATAATATTTTTAATTCGTTTGTACCTTTTACAATGTTTTCATGCAATCTCCTTAACTCCTTCATTTGCTTTTTGACTTTCAACTCTGCCTTAGCAGCTGTAATTTCAGTTTTTGGAACTGTTTCAACAGGAACATTTTCTGTTTTTGTTGTTTCTTTATCATTCTTTGTGCTAATATTAGACAGACTTGTATACTGAATAATTAAACTTAATTAAGAGATTGTTGTTAATTAAAATATCAATAATCTTACCACAATTGTCTTTTTGTATTGCTCCTTTAACTCCTTTGCCTTTTTAATGTTTATTTCAATCGTTTCAATTTGCTTCGTTGTGAGCCTAGGAAGAAAACAAACTCGTAAGCGGGAGAAAAAAATGTAAACATTTCATTCGTACTTATTGCTTTCGATTAATTCCTTCATAATTTGCCATTTCTGTCTAAATTCTACTGTTTTGACACTTTCTATCATTTCAACAATGAATGGCAAGTGTTGTTTTAGATGTTCGTGACTCATATTTCTGGAAATAATGATGAATTTTCCTGTCCAAGCACTGCTGTAATCCAAATGGACTGAAATCTTCAAATAAATTTAATAATTCTCTCAAATGTTTATTTATCAGTTTTAACTTGATTGTTCTTCAATTATTACCTCTTCTACAATATTTAATAATGATACTAAGTCGATTAGAAACGACAACAAGTTCGTATTTACCTCAAAACTTTTAAAACAAACTTTTTCTGAAGACTCAAAATGTTTCCGAATGGACAAAAAAATTTCAGTGGCATTTCGAAAGTTGCATTCGAAAGGAGAATTTGAAACTTTTCGATGTAAGCTTTGTTATCTTTTTATTTCTCATCGTGAAGCAGATGTTTAACATCGAAACTGATGAATTTTATTCCACAATTAACATTAATAACATTAGTTATTGAACAATTATAAATATGAATGAATGTAGAGAATGTGAATAAGTAAACATGAATGTTTTGTGGATGAAAGAATTTTTTTTTTCAGGTTTCATTCAGAAATGATATATTTGCATTATGTATTTAAAGATCTTATAATTTTAACTACGAGCTGTTTTAGGTTGTTTGAACTTCAAGGCTCTTATTCTTCGTATCATTTGTGGGAAATTATCAATTTTTGCATTAGATTAAATATGATCGCAATAATGATTGAAATGTTAATCTGAATTAATTTTAGTTGTAATTTTGTTTTTGATTGATAGAGTCCTTTAAATCAGTCCACTAATTTAAAAGAACTTTGAGATTCATTTTTATTTGAACCTTGTGACTTGTTACAGAGATGCAAGTTGCAAAAGTTGGGATTATGAACAAAACTTTTATGAAAGTTGAACGAAGAAATTGAAATTGAGTGAAGTTGGAGAATTGTTGATACAATTAGAACATATATCATAAAGTAATGAAATCAATTAAATTTTTACATTACAACAAATCCTTAACAACAAATGAAGCAAAAATAATGAGAAATTTTAAAATCTGAAAAATGAAAAAGTTGGATTCAAAAAATGAAATGTTTCCTATGAAAATCAAAAAATTAAATTTGGAACCAATTTGTTGAGTGTAAATTGCTACTAATTATCATCAGGTGAGAATATTAATATCAATTGCAGCTTTAGTTTATCGAAATGAAAAATTGTCAAAATATTAAATGTTGATTTGAAATTCATCAATGAATAAGAATATAAGACGAATGTGAATCTATACCAAAAAGAATTCACATATCAAAACAAAATGTGCAGGGACCAAAATGAATGAAAAAAATCTGTGATGAAAAACATCATTATTTTTGATGATGAAAAAAATTATAATTTTTTCAAAACTTTTATGAAAGTTGAACGTCATTGAGTAAAGTTGGAAAAGTGTTGATACATCCACGAAGATATTTACAATTATTAATTCATTTGGTGTGATTTTATTGCATTTTTTGCTTTACGTGATGAAATCCTACGTAAAAATGATTCTTACGTGATGAAATTTTACGTAATAATTTACGTAAAGGGGCCGTTCACTTATTACGTTCGCATTTTAGGGGGGAGGGGGGGTTTGAAAATTGTAACAAAATGTAACATAGGGGGGGGGGGTGGTAGAAGTATGTAACGTTCTAACTGTCGTCTGTCTTTTAAAAAAATTCACACCAAAAACATTTTTTTCAAAATAAAATAAATTATGAACGTTCAGGGGGGGGGGGGGGGGGGGTTGTAAGTTGTAACATTTTGTAACAAGGGGGGGAGGGGGGGGTGAAAAAAGTCATTTTTTTGCGTAACGTAATAAGTGAACGGCCCCAAATGAAAAAAATCATAATTTTTTTCATTATCAAAAATAATGATGTTTTTCATCACAGATTTTTTTTTCATTCATTTTGGTCCCTGAAAATGTGTTTCATTTTATCCTAAATTTAGAAATTTTTTGCATTGTAAGTTGAATTTAATATTTAGATGATGTCAAAATTTCATTGTGCATCCCTTTGTTAAAAAACATTATGGATAAAAAAAACTATCCAACATCCAAGTAAGTTGCTTTAATTTGAAACAGAATCCACGAAGATAATGTTTTAATCGTCGAATAAAAGATTAATCCCGTGCAACTTTCATCTTATCATGAATAGGCATAGAATTTTTGAATTAAAAATTGATAAGACAGAGCTTAGACAGCTATAAAAGGGGCTACAAAGTACCAAAAAATTTCAGTCGGTGGTCGCGATTTCAAGCGGTAAAGTCGGGTAAGTGATAAGTAGTAGTGGTGATAGTGCAGTGATATAGTGGTGTTAGTGTGTGAGAGGAAGGGGTCCTGGGAGAGTGAGAGAGTAAGGACCTTCAGGAAAAGTGTCCTGGATTAGCTTTTCCTGTAAGGATATTCGTCTCTCTCGCAGGATCTGAGGATGTCCTTGGAAGGTCCTAAATAACCTTTCTCTCATTTTTTGAGAAATTCTCTCACGATAAGAGATTCTCTCAATTTTTTGCGAGAGTAAAATTCTCACACTAATGACATTATCACTAAGTCCACTATCATCACCGGCTTAATGCCACTAATATGTGTGTCACACAAATGCGGAACCCCGAAAAAAAATGAATTTCGATTTACATTATCAAATATTTTTAATATATTTTGAATTAAAAAATGTTTCTGTGACATTATCAACATCTTGTGCTCAATTTTAATGTGTGTCTAAATGATTTTTATTTTTTCAATTTCAGTGATTTTTAAGAGAATCTCAATAAATTGTGAAACATGAACATATAATAGATAGTTAATAATGAAAATTAATAAGAAATTATTTGTGATAGCATGCATTGCGCTGATTCTCGTCAGCTTGGGCGATGCTGCCGAAAATAACAAGAAAAAGAAAAAATCAAAGAAAACAAAAGTTGTGAAAAATGTGCAGGCTGATGCATCAGCATCGGAAAAGCCTCAAGCACAACAGCCTGATTATACATATCCGGAAAATTATGATGACTATAATGAATATGATGAAAATGAGAATGTAGAAGGTAGGAAGTAAATTTTGAAACTGAAAGCAAAAACTTTGTTGCCTTATCATTGTACGCACTGATCTCGTCGCTCTAAAATGTTCAAGGAGGTTATCAAAAATATTAGACTGACTAACATTGTTTTGTTCAATTACTTTTTTTTTGCAAATTTCATAAGCTTATCAGCAAAAATTTTAGAAGATATCTCGAGAGCTATTTTAAAATTTCTTTGGAATTGTTTTGAGATCTTGTTTAAACTTTTTTAAAAAAACATTTGACATTTTGAATTCTCTATATTTTGGGAAAATATTCTGATTGTTCTAACATTCTAGAGCACTTTTATAAAGAAAATTTTGGTAGAACCAGAACTTCTTTTGTTAAAGACATTACTTTCAAAACGGCAAATGATTCTGAAATAAGAAAAACTAGTTTTTTAAACCTAAATTAAGTCAAATGAATTCAATGAAGATCATTAAAGATTATAATTTATTAGAGTCTTGGTTATTATAATATTTTGCAGTTTTCATATTCCGAACACATTTGACCTTCTAAGTTAAAGCGCTTAAAGGTTTAGTAAACACTGTTGCACAATTTAAGATGATTAAATTGAAATTGAAGTTCCAAAACTTTATCTGTAAATAATATTTGATTCATGTTTTCTTCAATTGTTTTCAAACGTTGATGAGAATTTACTAGCGGATATTTTATATTAAAATTATGTATGCAACTATAATTAGTTGATTTCCCCTTTTATAGTTGTTTGCTCCTTAATGGAAATATTCAATCTGTTTTTGATCACTCAAGAATAAACATCGTTGTTATTCATTTAAATCCATAAAGAAGATCTGTGGCTGCGTATAAATATACTAAAACTTCAAATAATGATGTTGATAATGATGATCATTTACATGTTTTTCATTCATAAAATAACACCAATTCAACGTTTGACTTCAAAATTTCTAACCAAAACCCTAGCAGAAATTTACAAGTAATTTCCTAGTAATTTACTGGATAACTTTCCATTTGCTACTTGCTATTTACTAGTCAAAATCCAAGTTCAAATTTTCGCCAAAGACTCGCATTTTCGCTTGCTAATTGACTAGTCAAGTCGCTTACAATTTTACTAGTAATTTACTAGCAAATTTGTAAAAAATTTAAATGAATATAACCGTTGATTGCCACGTGTTCTTTTGATTTTTCTTATTTTTGTAAATTATTGTAAAAGTATTGGTGTGTACTTAATTAAAGTACACTAACACTACGAAAAAGAACAAAAGGACTTAATTTAATTAAGTCAAACACTGATGAACGCCCATGACTCGCACGCAAACCTGGGGAAGAAATTTAGAACAAATTTTTTTATGACGCAAAAAATTCTTTTTATGATGATTTTTCGTAAGATTCGAACTTAAGCAGATATGATCAAACATTTCACATTGTAATTTGCTAGTAATTTGCTATTAAATAGCAAGTGTAATTTACTAGCAGTAAGTTGTTTTAATAATAACTAGTAAATTGCAAGTAGTAGAATAGAAAGACTAGCAATTTGCTAGTAAGTCTCGCTATTTAAATAGTAATGACTTTTGCTTCAGCGAAGATTTTCGAACAAAAAATTCTATTTGTATTGATTACTTGCTGCATCAATAAAAGTTTCATAAATTCTTTTAATTTTAATATACATACTGGGGGGTCCTCGATTTGAGTAGGTGTTTTGTTCCAGAAATTTTTTTATTCAAATCAAATCTACTCAAATCAAGAACCAAAAGTACAAATAAAAATGAGATTGAGTTAACTTAACTCAAAAAAAAAACTTGACTATCAAAACATTTTCTCTCAATAATTGCAAAACTTTCAATTTTTTAATGAGCAAATGAATCAAACTCATAAAGATTTACACAAAAAAATCTCAAATTTCAATATAGTTTGAGAGATTTTGCTCTAACTTACTCATAATTATTCATGTAAACAAAAAAGTTCTCACGAGATTATTTGAACAGCTTTTGGTTCGTTGAACTGGCGCCTCAGTTCAGAAATTAAATTAAAATTTTATTATTACTGATAAGCCGATTACTTGACACTTCTGCCTCATATAAACAAAACAATCTTATCAACTGCATGTCGCGTGCCAGTCTATAGGAATTCCATAACATTGACCTAGAGAAATAATCTCATGAATCACTTAGCACTGTGGGTGTGAAGTACGGCCGAGACCCATATCGACACAGTTCAAAAATTATACCTAATTTATGTCATAATTATGTCAGTTACAAATACACTTAGTTTGAATTTTGTCACCCTCGGGAACACTATGAACTAATATAGCTGATTTTGGTCCAAATCTCGGCCATACTTCACACTTATTTGAACCACATTTTCTCGTAAATGTTAAAATATTATTATATAGTAATCAATTCTGAATTATGTCGCTATTTTGTCAAGTGTTTTAAGATTAAAAAAATTTTATGGTTTCCACAGTCAAGAGTAAGAACAAAATTCAGGTTGGGTAGTCAAAATTTTAGCTTTCGATATTTTTTAAGCTATGCATTATAAAAAGTAATATTGGTATGTGATTTATGTCAGAATTATGTCAATTCAAATAAAACATCCAAAAAAATTTTTTGACCAAAGTACACCATAGAAAATCAATTTTCAATTTTGGACTAGGGGCGACCCTAGTCAAAATCAATTTTCTCACTTTTCTCTTCGATGGTTTATCCAAATGGATTGAAACTTTGCATAAATATTCTAGTACTTAAAAAAAATACGAATAAAACATCCTAAAATTTTTTTGAGCAAAGAACCAAGTAGGAACTACATTTTTAATTATGAACTAGGGGCAGGCCAAGTCAAAATCTAGTTTTTCACGTTTTTTTCTTCGAAAGTTTATCCAATTACAGTGAAACTTTGCGTGAGTTTACTAATATTTGTACAAAACAGTTTTAAATATCTAGAACAAGAAATGTATTCTATATGTCGTCTGACCCAAATTTTATGAATTTGGTTATACATTCAAAAACAACGTGACTTAAAATTTTGTCCAAAAAAATGATTTTTATTAATTCAGAAATGTGTGACCTGAGTATTAGAATGCTCATACAAAGTTTCACTGTATTTTGATAAACCCTCAAAGAAAAAAGTGAGAAAATTGATTTTGACTAGGGTCGCCCCTAGTCCAAAATTGAAAATGTAGTTCCTACTTGGTTCTTTGCTCAAAAAAATTTTAGGATGTTTTATTCGTATTTTTTTAAGTACTAGAATATTTATGCAAAGTTTCAATCCATTTGGATAAACCATCAAAGAAAAAAGTGAGAAAGTTGATTTTGACTAGGGTCGCCCCTAGTCCAAAATTGAAAATGTATTTCCTACTTGGTTCTTTGCTCAAAAAAATTTTGGGATATTTTACTTGTATTTGTTTTATGCATTAGAATATTTATGCAAAGTTTCAATCCATTTGGATAAACCCTCAAAGAAAAAAGTGACAAAATTGATTTTGACTAGGGTCGCCCCTAGTCCAAAATTGAAAATGTATTTCCTACTTGGTTCTTTTCTCAAAAAAATTTTAGGATGTTTTATTTTTATTTGTTTTAAGTACTCAAATATTTATGCAAAGTTTCAATCCATTTGGATAAACCCTCGAAGAAAAAAGTGAGAAAATTGATTTTGACTAGGGTCGCCCCTAGTCCAAAATTGAAAATGTATTTCCTACTTGGTTCTTTGCTCAAAAAAATTTTAAGATGTTTTATTTGTATTGTTTTTAAGCATTAGAATATTTATGCAAAGTTTCAATCCATTTAGATAAACCCTCGAAGAAAAAAGTAACAAATTGATTTTGACTAGGGTCGCCCCTAGTCCAAAATTGACAATGTATTTCCTACTTGGTTCTTTGCTCAAAAAAATTTTAAGATGTTTTATTTATATTTGTTTTATGCACTAGAATATTTATGCAAAATTTCAATCCATTTGGATAAACCCTCGAAGAAAAAAGTAACAAATTGATTTTGACTAGGGTCGCCCATAGTCCAAAATTGAAAATGTATTTCCTACTTGGTTCTTTGCTCAAAAAAATTTTAAGATGTTTTATTTGTATTTGTTTTAAGTACTAGAATATTTATGCAAAGTTTCAATTCATTTGGATAAACCATCGAAGAAAAAAGTGAGAAAATTGATTTTGACTAGGGTCGCCCCTAGTCCAAAATTGAAAATTGATTTTCTATGGTGTACTTTGGTCAAAAAAATTTTTTGGATGTTTTATTTGAATTGACATAATTCTGACATAAATCACATAGGGTTCGTTCACTTATTACGTAACGCACTAGGGGGGGAGGGGGGGTCTAAGATTTTGTTACGGTTTGTTACAGGGGGAGGGGGGGGGGGGGGGTCTAAATTTTGTTACGTAACTTTTCAAAAATTATATTTTTTTATAATTTTTTCTGTATTAATTTTAAATTTTTTTAACGTTAAATTTTAACTTAAGAACTTTTTAGTTATAATTGCTTTCCTTCTATTTACTTTTACATACTTAAAGGAAGTATAATAAACATTTGATAAACAATTTAAATGAAAAAAATTATTGTTACGTTATGGGGGGGGAGGGGGGGTCTAAGATTTTGTTACGCTTTGTTACAGGGGGGGAGGGGGGGTCTAAAAACTCGTTTTTTTGCGTTACGTAATAAGTGAACGAGCCCATACCAATATTATTTTTTATAATGCATAGCTTAAAAAAAAATCGAAAGCTAAAATTTTGACTACCCAACCTGAATTTTGTTCTTACTCTTGACTATGGAAACCAAAAAAAAAAATTTTTATCTTAAAACACTTGTCATTTACGAGAAAATGTGGTTTAAACAAGTGTGAAGTATGGCCGAGATTTGGACCAAAATCAGCTACACTAGTTCATAGTGTGCCCGAGGGCGACAAAATTCAAACTAAGTGTTTTTGTAGCTGACATAATTATGACATAAATTAGGTATAACTTTTGAATCGTGTCGATATGAGTCTCGTCCGTACTTCACGCCCACCTTAGCACTTACTCTTATCTCACTTAATTCCATTGACTTTACTCGTTTCATTCATAAAAATTCTACAGCACGTAATGGGCATCCTGAGGAAGAACAAGTCGAAAATACAACCGTTTTTCAACAACCACCAGATGAAATTCCTCAACCTATAGTCCAGCCATTCTCATGTCTATTCCAAGACAAGTGGTATCGAGAAGGTGAAGAATTCAAAATGGGACCAAATGACTGTTCTGTCTGCATTTGCGTTGATACTGAAATTAAATGTAATGATGATAATTGTCCACCACCAACAACTACTCAAAAGCCTGTGACTACACAAAAACCAACTCAAAGGCCTACGACAACAGAGCCTCCAGCAACAACAACAACAACAACAACTTCATTACCAGTGACAGTTCCTTTTGTTCCTGGTCCAATCGGTGATATTGGTCCACAGGGTGAAAGAGGAGATCGTGGAGATAGAGGAGAACCTGTATGATGATTTATTTTACTGGGGTTTATTTGCAAATGACGTCCAAAATCAAGGATATGGAACTGATCGACTGACTTTTGAGTATATTTGATCAATTTTACATCCGTGTTTAAAATTCAGATTGGGTTTAGATCTATAACTTATTGACATTTTTTGGACGTCATTTGTTGATGATCCCTATGAAAATTTGAATTGATCACTTTAATCTTAATTTATATTAATCATTGAAGGGTATCCCCGGTAATCCTGGAATTCCTGGTAAAAAATTAGAAATTTCTCGATTTCATTAATTTTAATTTTATTAAATTTTAATATTAGGTATGCCTGGGTATGTTGCTGCATCTCTTTAACAAGGTATCATTTGATATAATCTTAAATTAATTTGTAGCCCACCAGGTCCACCACCAGACTTAAGCTTCTACACACAACAATTAGCAGAGCAATTAGGAGGTTCCGATAAAGGTCCAAGCGGACCAGGTTTCTTGCCAGAAAACTTTCAATACATGCAAGCAGCTGTGGGACCTGTTGGTATGTGATATCATCGTTACAATGTTAAAAATCTGATTTATTAAATTGAATCTTATCTTGAATTATTTGTTTCATAGGTCAACGTGGACCCCCGGGTCCCCCAGGTTAGTTTAAATCTTTTTCTAATAAACTACAATGATACTAAGTTAAATATTCTATTCATAAGGCTCAACTGGTCCTCAAGGTCATCAAGGTAAGATTGTTTATTTGACAGTGTGTGAACAAGCATCTTAATAATTTTTGCTAAAGGTGTAAGAGGTGAAACTGGAGATTCTGGACCCCCAGGGTATATTATATGATTTTAATAGCCATTAATTGATTTTATTAAAAATTGCAAACTTTATTTCAGACCTCCCGGCTTACAAGGTGTTATGGGGTGAGTCATGGTTCTTATTTTAAGCAACATAGTTTATTAATCATCAATATTTTTAGACCACATGGACCACCTGGTAAAGATGGACAAAATGGTGAAGATGGAGAAACTGGGTAATTTTAAAAATAGCATGAAATAATTTACAAAATTAATAAACTTAATTTTTTTATAGACCACCAGGCTTAGCTGGGTAAGTAAATTAATAACTCCTGGTTGACATAATAACAACTTCAACCATTTTTGATTCAAAAGCCCCCCGGGACCAAGAGGACTTCCAGGTAAATAAATAATTATATTGTTTACGAAGAATAAATTTTATTTTCTTTAAAAAAGGTATGCCTGGAGTTCCTGGCGTAAAAGGACATCGGGGTTACACTGGATCTGACGGAACTAAAGGTTTGAAATAAAAATGGAATTGAGATTTGAATTTTAATTATAATTTTTTCCATTTTTCGTTTACAGGAGAAGCTGGAGTGCAAGGTATCAATTAGATTAGCTATGATTAACATTACTTGAGCTTAAAATCATTTTTTAAAATTAAAAAAGGTGAAAAGGGTACCCAAGGAAATTCTGGTGAGTTTTAATAAAATTCTAATAATTACAATTTAAATTTATTTTTACCACGTTTTTATTAATTAAACTTTTAAGGACCCCCTGGAACGCCTGGTGCATCTGTAAGTTATAATTAAAGAAATTTTACTCACCATATTAATCTGATTATCTGAATTTTTGCTCATAGGGTCCAGCAGGTTTGTTTAAATTATTAATAAATTTCTTTTGAGTCTACAAACTAAATTTCATAGGACCAAGAGGAGAAAGAGGCAGAGAAGGAAGCCCTGGACCAGCTGTGAGTGAAAAATATTCTTTATAGTCATTCAAAACTTGCTTTTGAGTAACTTAATTAATTTTAAAAAAATTTTTGCAGGGTGTTAGAGGAAACGATGGAGCTCAAGGACCTCCGGGGTAAGTTAATAAGTCAAAAATACAAAAAAACTGAGTTTTAATCACATTTTTAATTTCTAGACCTGTTGGAGCCACTGGTAAATTTTAAATCAATTGAAAATGAATAGTTGAAGAAATAATGTTATGAATTAGGTAAATCTGGACCACCTGGATTTCCCGGAAGTGCTGGGAATAAGGGAGATTCTGGACCAATTGGTCCGAAAGGTAGCACAGGCCCTCAAGTATGTTAATTCAATTATCTCAAACTTTTCTTATTTTACTTAATTTATGATTTTTTAATTTTAAAGGGACCTCGAGGAGAAGCTGGAAAGCCTGGTAAGTTTTTATAAATACTGCGCAATATTGAATAGATTTTAAGATTTGTGATGAATAAGGCTTAAGTCTTGAAGGTCTTATAGAAATCATTCGAAAATGATGATTATTAAAAGTTTTCATTTTCTTTTTGAATGACCCGCAAAGCTCAAAAATATATTTTGCGTATTAGATAATTTTTTAATACTTAAACTTATCTTTGGTGAAATGGCATCAGTGAGTGTGACTGAAGTATGACGGCATGAAGTGTCCAATCACTTTGAAACTTTGCCAGAATTAAGTCCATATTACGTCCAATTGCGTCCAACAAAAAAATAATTGTGTCCTACTTCCTGTGGCTGGATATAGCAGGTTCCATTTTTGGGAATTATGCCGCCGTACTTCAGGTTTTAAAACGGCATCATTTCCAAATATCAACTTTATTAGACATATTATACATCAAAATTGATCTCTTAATTACGTCCAGTTGCGTCCAGCAAAATGTTTTGGAATTGGATATAACCAGCAAGAGTTATGGACTGTCAAAGTTTTGGACATTACTACTTGTGGACCAATATTTTTTTTTGCCCAAATCCTATCATGTTATATATCAAAACACGTCTACTTTTTCTCAGCAGCTTAAATCTGATGGAATTATTTAATTCCAATTCATTTTAGACCTATGGTAGTTCCAGTTCCATCTCATACTTGAATATCACCAAATGTTCAAAAGTTGACTAGTGGCATGTTGTATATCTAAAAATATCTATTTTTTGTCAGTGTTTCTAATCTGACGAAATTATCTTAGTCCAACCTGTAGTTTTCGACATATGGCAGTTCCAGTGTATTTTAACCTTTACCTGGACATATCGAAAGTTTTACTTTTACCTGTCTAATATATATTTTGACAGAGATTGTTATTACTCCATCAATTTAAAGTGGCCTAAATGGTAGAGCGTTGGCCTTCTGTGCCAAAGGTCCTGGGTTCAATCCCAGGCCATGTCTAATTTTCGAAGCTCTTTTTCCATTTCACCGTTCTAGTTACGAAGCTCGGTTTGTGTGTTGGGTGTAGTTTTGAGGTCTTTGGCACAGAATATGCCTCCTTTGCTAGGTATACAAGGATATACTAGCATCTGGATGACTTCATTACGGCATCTTGCGCACACGAATTGTGACCAGGTACATTGCAGGGTACATCAGGTCTTATGACGTACTCGTGTCTTTGCAATGTGCAGAGCTTGCAAGTGGTTCGGATCCCACTATAAACTGTAGGTCTAAAGAGTGTGGTACAATAGATTCTGTTCTAATTTTGAATCGCAGTGCCTCCAGCTGAAAGGCTGGGCCCTTCACACATTATTATTATTATTAACTTATCTTTAATTTAAGGTTTTACTGGTGAAACTGGCCCAGCTGGAATTCCAGGAAGAGATGGAATCCCAGGTATTATAAAACAATCATGGTTTAAAATATTGACAAAAATTACTTTTGTTGAATTAAAATAGGTGAAAAGGGAGCAACTGGTTCGATGGGAATGGCGGGTCCAATTGGATTCCCAGGACCAAGGGGACCACAGGGATTAGAAGTAAGGAACTTAAAACTTTCTCAATCAACATTTGATTTTATAATAAATATTGTTATTGAATGTTAAAGGGTAGCACAGGAGAGCCAGGAATCAAAGGTTCACAGGGAACTGCCGGTGAAAGAGGAATTAAAGGAGACAGTGGCTTGAAAGGAGACATGGGTGCACCAGGGTAAATAATTTCTCATGTGACAATGTCATCTAGACTTCCGAGGGTAATTTTGGGTAATAATTTTATTTAATTGAATATTTTCAGACCAAGAGGACTTCCTGGAGCAATCGGTAAGAATTTTAAATTACTTTTTGGTGTTAATTATGCAATTAAAAATGATTTGTTTTAGGACCCGAGGGAAAACGTGGTAAAAGAGGAATGAGAGGACCTACTGGAGTAAGATTTGAATTATCAAATAATTTGGAACACTTAATTAATGAATCATTACATAGGAACGCGGTCCACAAGGAGAAAGAGGTCCAATGGTGCGATAATAAATTAATATTTGACAAATTAGAAAACATAACTTTTTAATGTTAACATTTTAGGGAGCAGCTGGTTTGCCTGGTCCAGATGGTGCTATGGGTCCTAAAGGAAACAGTGGTGATAGAGGAAATCCTGGTGAAAGAGGTCCAAAAGGAAGTTCGGGAGATATTGGTGCACCTGGAATTCAGGGTAATGAGCTACATTTTTTACAAATAGTTGAATTTATTAATTTTCTTATTTTTAATCAACAGGTATTCAAGGATTGAGAGTAAGAATAAAAAATTAAAATAAATTTTGCTTTCTTAAATTAATAATTTTCATTCTAAGGGTCTGCCTGGAAAATCTGGAATCCCAGGAAAACCAGGAACACAGGGTATATTGATATTATATTTAAGATTAAAGTAAAATTATTAATAATTTTGAAATGAACTTAATAAAAGGTGAAAGAGGAGTGCCGGGAAGTGATGGAAAACAGGGAGAGTAAGTTTTATGATTATTTTAATTAGAAACTTATTAATCTTTAATTTATTTTCTATTCAATCTTAGACCCGGTCCACAAGGTAACTTAATTAAGACATAACTTATACATTTACTAATGAGTCTTTTAAATAGGTCTGCAAGGTTTACCAGGTCCCATGGTAATTATATAATTTAGTATTTTATTAGAGTTTTAAATTTAATAAATTATTTTGTTTAGGGATTGCAAGGAGACAAAGGATTGACTGGTGAATCTGGAAAAGATGGAGAGGTAGAATATATTTTTAAACATATTTTATTATTTTAATTAACTTATTGATTTTTATTATTGAAGCCGGGTCCAACAGGGTAGGTTTTAAATCAGTGGTTCTCAACACGACACACTAAACTTACGTCCAGAGCTGCATTATTGTCTGATTTGGTAATTTATTGCAATATACCTTGGATCAATCACGTAGAAAAGTGTGTCTTAAACCGTAGTTTGAGTAGCGCTGGTTAAGAAACTAATAAAAATTGTGTGCCAAATATTTATCAAATTTGCATTATTTTAGCCCTCAAGGACCACGAGGAGATTTAGGTATGTCTTTAAATAATTCTTAATCAATAAAATAAACATTCATTTTAAAACAAAACAAATTAATCGATAGGTCCCGCTGGAAAAGATGGAGTTCCTGGACCTCAAGGTAAAAAATGTCATAAAAAACTTACTGAATCTTGAAATTTAAATTTAATATTTTAATTAATAGGACCACAAGGATCACAAGGAGGTTTGAAATGTGACAAAACAATCGATATAAAAATCCTTAAAAATAATTATATGTTTTAGAACGCGGTAACCCGGGTCCACAAGGAACTACAGGGTTCCAAGTAAACTATCATACTGAATATTTGATTCTATTATCTAACAATTGATTAAATTTATTCTAGGGCTTACCAGGTGCACCAGGTCAAGCAGTAAGTCAATAAGCACTTTTTATAAGTTTTTGTGTACATTTAAAAATCCTTTGTTAGGGTCAACCTGGAAAAGATGGAGCTCAAGGACCCCCGGGAAGGTATTATTGAATAAAATGTTGATTGAAGCTTTGTGTATTCATGATAAATGATTATTATTTTAGTCCGGGCATGACAGGACCAGCTGGAAACAGAGGAGGTAACTATCGAGGGTTAAAACTGAGAATCATCAAATATTAAACTTATAATAAATTTATAGAAAGAGGATTTCCTGGAGAAAGAGGACCAATTGGAATTCCTGTAAGTAATTCATAAGTTTAATCCTTAATTTATATGATCATGTATTTTTTTTTTCAGGGAATTCAAGGTCAAAAAGGAGAAGTTGGAACACAAGGTGAGCATCTTTAATCTACTGATTTTAATAAAATAAATTCGATATAATCCAACTCAACTCTTTTACAAAATTAAGGTCCTGATGGAAACCCTGGACCATCTGGTAAGTCTTGTATTTCAATATTTTAGAGATATAATCATAACATTATCTATTAATTAAAGGTCTTCGAGGTGAAAAAGGACATCAAGGTAAAAATTTTGTTAATCTTGTTTTAAAATCATTTAAATAATATTTGTTTTTTGAAATCTTCTAAAACTAGGTTCCCCTGGAATGGTCGGAATACCAGGAAAGTTGTAGAATAGTTGGTAAAATTATGAAAAAATTTCTGAAAAACAAAATTATTTAAATTAGGTATGAGAGGTCCTCAAGGTGTATCAGGAGAAAAAGGAGAACGTGGAGCAACAGTGAGTATTCTAAGAGATATCCTGAGTGTGATTAATTTTAAAAAAATCCAGAACTTTCTGTCATGAAATTTCAAGTCCGTTATAAATACAAAATTAATCAGAACAGGATTTCTAATGGAAATTTATCACGTTATGACGGAATTTTTTTAATTAATTTTTTGGGCTAATTTCAAGTGTATACGCCTTGTTTAATTAATTTTGGATTACATCTTTCAACATTATTACTGTAGATCAAAATTTATTTAAACTAAAGTCCCTGAATTAAAGATTACTCTTACAGCAATGGAAAAATAAAGAAAATATTATTTTTAGGGATTGATTGGACCTGAGGGACCACCTGGAAGAATCGGTATTTAAAATCCTAAAACTAGCTTCAAATAATCATAATACATTGAAATAACATTTGCAGGTGATAGAGGTGTACAAGGTTTAATGGGGCCACCAGTAAGTCTTTATTTCACTTTACAAAAATTTTACATTAACTAGTCAACAACTAATTTAAAATTTCTTATTTTGAAAGGGTCCACCTGGCGAAGCTGGTGAAAGGTAATTTTTATTGTTTTGTTCATCGTTAAATAAATAAATAAATATTTAATTGCAAGTTGAGAAAAATATTCGAGAGCAGTGCTCGTTAAAGTTAATTTTATCCAACAATCTCGTCATATTCTTCGATATCGTCAACACCACCAGCATCAATTTCAGCATCCGTTCCAGGATTTATTACAGCTGGATAACCTGGATGTCCACCACCATCCTCAGGTGATACAAGTCCAACTCCATCAGATCCGAACTTCATGCAATTAAATTGTCTGTCGATCAAGTCATAGTCACCAAAACTGACATTAAGATCTAAGCACATATGGACATTTCGTCCAATGAAATAAATGTCGTGGAACTTAGCACACATTTCCACTAATTCACCGAATCTAGGCGGTGAGATGCAAATTGGACGTGGATTCTTTCCACTGACTATGTTTTTGTAAAGTGTACGTTCGTTAAACATCATTTTGAGCTCAAATGCAAAGTCTTCTGGGATATATTTGATCTTCATGCAGCCTTTGTTGCTAAAGAAAAATCCACCAACGCAGCAACTGCAGATTCCATTCTTGCATTCACATGGAATTCTAGACGTAACAGCTTCAACTGGATCTCCAGTGACTGGTGGAATTTGTGGCTTCTTAAGCATTTCTTTTATTACTTTCTTTTTGTCTTTCTTGCTACGACCTTCACTCTCGTTTAAAATTGCTGTGATATTCTTTAGGAACTCCATCTCAACTTCATTCATGCTGTCGTCATTGTCAACTTCACTGCTTGTTTGATTCAAATTACTTCGATCAATTTGGACATGTGCGGCACTGATAACGTTGATTATAAGAGCAAATAGAAAAATTACACAAATATCTTTCATGTTGACTTATGTGTATCTCTTGCTTGATTTAACTTTCACTTTTTTAACATTTAACGATCTGCATATGATTCACTTTGTATTAAATTTAAACGATGTAAATAATTTTTATGCAAATTTAACTACTTGAATTTCTTCACGACTTTACTGAACGACAACTGAATACTGACTAAACATAGTTAATGCGATGGCTATCAAATTTAAGATCAAAAGACACTCTCAATTTCTCTTCATTTCTCTTGCTTTCTTTCTTGTATTTCCACTTGTCTTGTCGTCTTGATGAGAGTGGCTTGTAGGCTGCTAAGTGAAATGCTGTTGAACGTTGAAGCTGATGTTGTGTGGTGAAAATTTTGCTCAATTGTGCACTTTGAGATACTTGATAAGAAGCTAATGATTTTAATTTCTTTTCATTTGCGTTTGTCTAGAGGTGAATCTGGAGAAAAAGGTAAGATTTGTGTAGGGTTGTTGATGAATGATGTTCTTCGAAAAAAAGGAATATATGAAGAACCTCTCCCCCCCCCCCCCCCTATTTCTGCTACGTAGTACGTTTCATACTTGGTGTATAAAAGTGTAAATCTTCACTCAAGAAGTTGCACATCATTTATCAACGGCCCGTAACTATTTTTGGAACTATTCACATTTTTAATTTTTCAATATTTTGTTCTTAGGACCTCCTGGAGAGTAAGTTGAATCTTAAATTTTATGTTGCTGGACATCATAAATTCTAAACGAATACGTTTTAAATAGAACTGGTGCTGTGGGCAGCGTTGGATTGCCAGGACCTCCGGGTAACATAAAATAGTCTAACCTTCATCATGAAAGAACTAGATATGTGCTTGATAGTACAAGAAATATCTAGACTTTTGAAGATTAGGTCATAATAAAATCAAAAATCTAATAATCTTTAAAATCTTTCTTAATTTTTAGGACCACAGGGATTGCAAGTAATTATCACATTAGCATAAAAGTTGTTTGACTGTTAACAAATTTCAATTATTTTAAGGGTTTCCCTGGACCACAAGGTGCTATGGGATTGCCAGGTAAATTTACAAATTGAATAATTTTATTTGATTTTGCCAAATTATAATTTTCAATTAAAATCGTTGGATATAAAAATATTAAATTTCAAAATTATTACAGGTACGAAGGGAGAACGTGGGCCATATGGTTTGAAAGGTGAACAAGGTGTTGCTGGAGCTCAAGGTAATGATTTTTATTAAAAATAAAAAAAAAATCTATTGATTGTTGAAACATTATTTTAACAGGTATCCAAGGAGAAATTGGTCCTTCAGTAAGTTATTAAAATAAGCATAATTATAAAGATGAAGCTAAGGATAAACATTTATTTTAAGGGCCCGACTGGTTTAACTGGACAAAAGGGTCAAAGAGGTGACATTGGAGCTAGAGGAGAAATTGGAATGATGGGTAATGTTTTTTGATGAAGTTAAAACTTTGAACTATCAAAGTTAATGAAATAAATTGTATTTTAGGTCCACCTGGAAGACCTGGGGAACCTGGCCAACCTGTAAGCATTTAATTTTATTCAATGTGTGCATTTAGAGAAGAAAAATTAACGTTCGGCGCTTCAATCACATAATAATTGATTCGTATCTTTTGAAAGAAATTTAATGCATGGTTTATAATTTCTATGTCAAATAGAATAGCTTTGAGCATAGAAAGTAATGAATTATTTATTTAAAGGGACAAGCTGGAGCTCAAGGATTGCAAGGAATACCTGGTATAACCATAAATTTAATCCTTTTTATTGAAAATGTTAATGCCTCAAATTTATTTTTAAGGTACACCGGGTTCTAAAGGTCAAGCTGGTGAAACTGGAAGAATGGGAATGCAAGGTAAATGATTAATAGATTTATAAGAATCCAGAAATTACATATTTATATTTTAGGTCCAATGGGTAACCCCGGACCCCAGGGGTTAGCTGGCGACAAAGGAGATTCAGTAAAATATTTAAATTCTCTTCCAATACAAGCCAAATTGTAATATTTTCAAAATTTATAGGGAAGTGAAGGTCAACAAGGTCCCTCGGGTAAGAATCAATAATTCAATTTATAATTTGATATTTATCAAGTTGGTTTCATTTTTTAGGTCCTCCTGGTCCACCTGTATGTATTTAGATATTTTAAGTGACATTTCAGTACGAAAAAGGTTAAAAATTCATTTTTAGGGCCAAGTTGGTGATCGTGGATTGCCAGGTTTGTAAATTTAAGTTTGTACAAAGTTTGAATATTGATGATAATTCTTTATTACAGGTTTGCCTGGCCCTGTTGGTTCTGCTGGACAAAAGGGTAAATAGATAATTTTTAAATATAATTATAAAAGTAGATGAATAACTTTATAAAACATTAAAGGAGCAAGAGGAGCACCTGGAGACGTTGGACAATCTGGTCGAGATGGAAAAGAAGGTCCACAAGGTTCACAAGGACCACCAGGAGAACCTGTAAGTTTAAGCATGAGTTTAATCTAGTTTTATCCTTAATTCTTTGAAATTTTATAAATACTAGGGTCCAATGGGAAATCAAGGACCACCTGGGTAAGTTTTATAAATTTAATAATTCAAAGTATTGAAAACTAATTTGTGTATATTATTTATTTGCAGACACGATGGACCTCAAGGCAAGAAATCATACCAAGTTTATTTAAAATATTTGTCATTATTATTTGCGTCTTCAATTTAGGAAAACCTGGAGCCCCAGGACTTCAAGGTCGTGTAGGAGACAAAGGTCCTATTGGTGCAACTGGATCTGCAGGAAATCCAGGTAAATTGCGTCATGAGATATTCATCCATATCCTGTGAAAAAAAACTTTAATTATTAAACTTTTCCATAATTTAGGTCCCCCCGGTTTGCCTGGTCCAAATGTAATGATTTGTAGCTTATTTAAAATAAAAATTAATCTTATTAGTTTTAAATTTGCTTCCTAGGGCCCAGCAGGTCCAATGGGACCTTCAGGAGAAAGAGGTCAGAGAGGTGAACAAGGACAACAAGGTAAGCTTCAAATTATAATTTCATGGTGATTTTTTTTAACATTCATTAATAATTGATTACTAACCCTAATCTAGGTGTTGATGGACCAATTGGTAAGTTGAAAGTTAAAATTCAAAGTTTATTAAAATTATATAATTAATATTTTTAAATTAAATTAAAGGTCCAAGAGGAAAACCTGTAAGTTTTCATTTTATTTTATTAAAAACTTTAAGTATTAATGTAAAATTATATTTGCAAGGGTCCACCGGGTATTGAAGGCACAAAGGGAGATAGAGGAGATTTAGGTCCAAAAGGAGCAAAGGGTCACAGAGGTTTAGTAGGTCTTCAAGGTAAGATTAAGATTGTTAATTTTAAAAGTCATGAACATTTTGATAATATCAAAATTTAGGTATGACTGGAAGTCCTGGACAAATTGGTGAAAAGGGTAATCTTGGAAACCCTGGTAAGATTTTCTTAAAATTTATTACAACATCAAAATTATTAACATACTTAATTCTTAAACTCTTATAGGTCCACAAGGTCCACCTGTAAGTTAAATTGAGACAATGATGTGGTTGGAGTCGACTTGATTAGACTCGAATCGCCTCAACTTCTAGTTCCGAACTATTAGTCAAGTAAATAATTGAATATTCGTATTTAGGGTGAACCTGGTCCGAGAGGTCCTCCTGGAAGAGATGGAAGTCCGGTAAGCAACATATTAATTTTAAAAAAATTTATAATTATTAAAGTCAATAATCGAACAATCTTAGGGACCACAAGGTTTAACTGGAGGAGTTGGTGAGTGAAATGAATAAAAAACTAGAAAATCTTTTAATTCTTACAAACAATTTAAAAAGGACCCAGAGGAAATCCTGGTGATCAAGGTATGATAAATTAGAAAATTTTGAGTATGTTCAACATTATAATTAAATTTTCTATTAGGAAAACCTGGTCTTAGAGGAGACATTGGGTAACTATTGAAGATAATAACTCTTAATTTTCACAAATTAATTTTATATGTCTTTAACAAAATTTTAGTCCACCTGGGTAAGCTTACAATCAGTATTTCCATACAAACAAAAAAATAACATCAATTATCATTCAGTCCACCTGGTCCACAAGCTGAATCGCTAGGTTATGACGCAGCAGCTTTAGCAGCTTTGCTTGGGCATGGAGCTAACAATCAAAAGGGACCTGACCCGAATGACGATCCATTAAAGCAGTTGACAGACGATGAGAAGAGAGCTATCGTACTTAAAGCTTATGAAAATCTTAAGACTAGATTTGAAAAGTTCAAGAAACCAAATGGCGAGAAGCAATTCCCAGCAAAGACTTGTAGAGATTTAGCTGTTGCATATCCTGAATATGAATCTGGTAATTATTGGATTGATCCAAACGATGGCGATCCAAGAGATGCAATTTATGTCTATTGTGACATGAAAAAGCGTGCAACATGTGTTATTCCATCACCAATGAAGTCTAGTGAGATTAGCTACACAGGAAGAGAACCAGAAATTTGGTTAAGTGAAATTGAGAATGGAATGAAAATTAATTACAAGGCTGACAGCAATCAATTAGGATTCTTGCAATTGTTGTCCACACAAGCAACACAAAACATCACATTCCATTGTAAGAACACAATTGGATACTTTGACAAAATCAAGAACAATCACCGACGTGGTGTTAAACTTATGACATGGAATGACAACGAATTAACACCAAAAGGACCTCAAAGACTTCGTTATGATGTAACTGAGGATGGTTGTGAAGATCGAAGAGATGAATGGGCACAAACTGTTATTACTTATACAACTGATAAGCCATTGAGACTGCCTTTGGTTGATGTTGCTGTACGAGATTTCGGCAATGACAATCAAAAGTTCTGGCTTGAAATAAATCCTGTTTGTTTCTCTTAGTTTAATTTTATTAGAGATTTTTCTGCTTTTTACTGCCAAATTTAATAAATAAAGTAAATGATTTTTTGAAAAGTTAAGAGTTTTTTTTTTTGCTGTTGGATATCGGGCTGGAAAGTCATGTGATGCTCTAGTATACTGGATCTGCTTATTACTACGTTAGTTTAATTACTGGGTATAATACAATTTATTCTATCTTCGATCAGGATTGCAGTTTTTCAAGCTAGGTTTTTGAGATCCTTAGAATTAACCAGTTCCAATTAAATCCTGAATGTTGTCTATCAACATGCCTGCCATCTAATTTCTAATTAAGTTGCCTTAGTAGTAGTTCAATCGATAAGAAATTCCAGTAGACATCATGCTTTGATTGCAAAAGTCGTTACTTCCCATAAATCACCAATCATTTTTGAATTTACAAACAATTTTTTACTCGTAAGACACACTGAAATATCCAAAAACAAAACATCAAAGAAATCATCTCTCAGAGCAGACCCCCTCAAATAAAACATTTATAAGGTTCCGATTCAATATTTTGATCGTGATATTTTGGAAATTTTTTCCATCACTCGAAAATTTTAGTCTTATTATTTTTCGAGTGGCAATAAACGAACAAAAAGTTTACTTAAAAATCAAGAATTTCTTGGAAGTCATTTTAGTATAAAAAAAATTATAACTTTAAAGCCTCAAAAGAACAAAAAAAAAATTAAATATGTGGAAACTTTCATTATTATGCATTTTATCGTTATCAACGTCATTTACTGTAGCCCAACGAGTTGCTCCTGGTGTAGCTCCAGGTCAATATGTAAGTTTAATTCATTTCCTTATTATTTGTCAATTGGAATGCGGAAAATCAACAAATTTTATGTTGTTTGATAAAAAAAAATCGCTTACGTGTACCAAAAAATAAAAGTTTCACACAAAATTTCTTGCTTGTTTATTTTTAGCAACAACCACAATACCAAGCTGGACAACAACAACAACATCCGCCTCCACCTCAATATAATCAACAACAACATCATCAGCAACAACCTCCAAATGTTAATCCACAACAATATCATCCTAATCAGCAGGTACCAGTGCAACATGTCGATCAATATGGAAATGTTGTTCAACAACAGCAACAGGTAGGCACAAAGTGTTAATTAATAATAAAAAAATTTAAATTTTATTTTTTTCAGCAACAACATGTTCCCCAACATCAACAGCAGCAACAACCATCTCAGCAAGTTTATCAACAGCCACATCATGACGATCACGGAGGACATGGAGGTCATGGTCAACAAGTATTACACACAGGCAATCTGATGCAAGAGAAAGAGTAAAGTCTTACGACATATATTTTTTCTTTCACACAATTGAATTTTTTGTGTCATTTTTAGTCACATTGCTGAGCATATGGAAGTTCCAATTGATACAAGTAAAATGTCAGAACAAGAACTTCAATTTCATTACTTTAAAATGCACGATGCTGATAACAATAATAAATTGGATGGATGTGAGCTTATAAAGAGTTTGATTCATTGGCATGGTGAGTAGATTGATTAGAGTTTTCAAAAATGATTAAGGGTGGTTTAGTGAAGTGGATTGTGTGAACTATGGATTATTGAGAATATTTTTGACATTCAAAGGAAGTTTATTTTTTGAGTAACATCAAAAGATAGGCAAGAATTTGACATATATCTTTGATAATGCTTTGGTATTCAAGTTAACTGCTAACAGCACTGTAAAAAAATTGCAATATTTATTTTCAAAATTATTAGGAATATTTGGAATTGTTTCAAAAATATTAAAAATTAACTCGTAATCTATAAAAATCTTCGACGCAAGGAGTGCCCTATACATAACAGGATTCAATATTATAGTGCTCAATCTAAATCAAAATAGAATGTGAAAGCGTTTTAAAAGGGCTGGATCGTCTGAAATCGCAATAACAATAAAAGGGTTGTTAATAAGTGACGTTCGTCGAAAGTTTGAATTTTAGCAGATTTTTCCAGCATAGCCAGGGAGAAGATTTTTCAGATTAAACCCACTCGAATTTATAAAAGACTCCCAAACAGGTTTCTTGTCATTTTAAAATAATATGGAAAAATTGAAAAACCAGTTCAGTATTTAAGGCACCAAAAATGTCATCTGTCTTCATCAAAACGTGTCAAACCTTTCGATAAATAAGCGAAAATTATTTTTTCATATCTAAACATGTGTTATCATCAACAGCTGTACACGATATCAGCAAAAAAAATGTTTTGACACCATTTCAGTGATGAAATATTCATTCATGCTTTAATTGCTATTTTTTTGATAACGATACCTTCCATTTACATGCTTGGTTAGCATTTTTCATTTTTTCTTGCTGTTACCTTGGTGTAACTGAAGCTAGTCGGCGTGCTGTCACCAAATGATTTGAAACCTTTTTCATAATCAAAGTTTCAAATCATTTGGTGACTGCACGTCAGCTAATTAGAGTCACACATTACCTTGATGACTAGCTTAATTTTCCTATAAAGCAGAATTTCTGTTGTAGAAGTTAAGCATATTTGTAAGTCCGTCAAATTTTATCACCGTGCAACTTTTCATTGGACATAAAATTCTGCATCCTTCAGATTGAATCTCTTAATCGCCGATATCAACCTACACAACTTTTAAGTTGAGTCATTTAGGGAAATCCTCGGAATTCCCAATAAAATTCTCATAATAAACTGATAAGAAATATAAAGCTATGACAAGATAATCTAAAAAGTCAACAATCCACTTCAAAACAACTCACTATCTTCATTATATTACTTTTATGGTGATGTATTTGCTTATTCATAAATTTTTTTTGTTCCTTACTTCAAATCATAATGTGACGTAAAAAAAAATCTAAAACTCATTTATACATCCTCATCATAATGGTGCTTGGAATAAAATCAGAACAAGGAAGTAAACAGCCGGAACAACAGCAAGTTCCTCATGTCGAAGAAAAGATATTTTCCGATGAGGAGCTTAACACATTAATTGATCCAATACTTACTAGTGATGATATCAATAAAGACGGATTCATTGACTATCCTGAATTTATTCGAGCACAACAAAAGGCAGCTGCATCAAATCAACAAAATAGATAACGCGAAAGACGTTGGAAAAAAAACTCCTAAGTATAAAGACTGATAGAAATGTCTTTGATCAATAATGACGACTATTTTTGTTCATTCCATATTGACTTCCATTTCATGTAAATTCTGTCGTGCTTAATTTTTATTAATTTACTTTAACTTTTTTTTGTTGACATTTTGGGAGGATAAGGAGGAACTAAATTAAAATCATTCATATATTCTTATTTCATCACACAAACAAAAAAGATAAGGCGATAACAATTTCTATAAGAATATCCATTGTGACGTGCAACTATATTTATTTTTCGAGAAATCTCATCCACATTTCTGTTTTTTTTATTTCAAATATTTTTTACTCAATGAAGATTATAGAGAGTTACTTAGAATCAAATTATAAGATTAGATGTAGCTAAAATTGATTGTTTTAGGAATTATGGAGACTTTTTTTATTAATAAGAATCTCATTTCAATGTGTTCACTTTTTTGGCGGGAAAATTCTAGTTCTTTATTTTATTAAATATTCTGCTTATTTAAATGGTTAGGAGAAGTATTGTTTTAGTAAAAGAAGGCCTCAGGTGCTGTTAAATAGACAAAATCCTTTGCTACGTACAAGTCTTTGGGCTCTAAAGTATATCTTCATATTTTATGGTTAACCAATTTCTCGATCAACAATAATTGAAAAAATTCAGCTTTGTCAATAGCTCTCATAATTACCATAGACTAACCTATTCTGTTATCTGGCTAGCCATTAATTTTTGAACAAGATGGTAACTTTTGATTTAGTGCCAATAAATCGTTTTCTTGAGAATCTATTTTATACCAATTGTAATATCTGAACAATTTATTGATTTTGGGTTATTGAGCCATTCTTAGGCGAATCTGTCAATTCAAAGATAAGGCATTTAAGACCGAATCGTAGAGCCACAGACTGACGATACGACAATGATTTGCACATAACAAATCCAGATTTATATTAAAATTACCTATTCTAAACATCTTGGTTGTCGAAATCGACACTTTTTGGCGAGATGAAAACTTTCATGACAATAATATGAATGCTTAATCATATTGCTTGAGCCAATAAACTTATTTTAATTGGTTAAAAAATCAATTTTAGCTAAATCTTCTCTTGAACCCTCTCAGTTTCTACTTGGATTACCTAAAGTAGAGACTTTGAAACTTGAACAAATTGTAAAATTCAGTTTTTAATTTTTATTAATTTAGAAGAAATATGAATAAAGAGGTTTATTATCAGCATTGTTTTTGTTCATCAGAAAAATACCAATCTAAAATTGTTATTACAATATTAACTCTTATTTCATAGACATTTAAGAGGCTTTATTTCAACTGCAGGTTTGGTGATGGTTTTTGGCAAGCTTAATTATTTTTAAAAAGATTTTGGATCAAAACTTTATAACAAAAATTTCAAAATCTAGAAAATGATGGAAAGAAGGAGATGTCAGATGCTTATACAGACGATCAAATCGAGAGTGCAATTGATTCAGTTATTAATATGATGGACAAGGATAAGGATGGATTTATCACGTACTCAGAATTTATCTCGAGTGCTCAAATCGCTCCAGCTAGTAAAAAGTAATAATCACCGATGATGTCTAATTTTGGAGTTCAAGACAAAATGTTGAGTTTTGAATATTTTATTTGAGTTAAATAAAAGTATTAAGCAGAACACCCCATGCAATGCATACCCAAAAGATTTTTAAATACTTTGTTGAAGACTTTTTTACAGATTTTATTAATTTGAACTTTATATTCAGACACAGTGCTAAGGTCGAAGTTGAAAACATTTGCTAAAGCCTGTAAAGATTGGTTTTGAGATATTTTTGGCAATTTTTAAGGCAATTTTTTTATTTTCTTATGTTTAAAAATTTCACTAGATCATCAGAAAATTAATTTTAATCTGAGAAGTTTGTAGTTTAAAAAGCATGACATAGCTTTAAGGCGAATATTGTGTTCCAAAAGAATAATGATTTCCTTTTGCTATCAACTTATTGTATCTGATATATTTTACATTTTCAACGACATTTTAATTTCTAAGTCAAATTAGATTTAATCAAATCATAAATATTAGAATTCAAAGAAATAACCTATTCAAATGATGCTTTTAAATAATCCGAACTGGAATTCACAAATCAATCCATAATTTATTGTTTATCTGACAAAATTATTTCTGCAACATTCTTATAATTTAATAATAATATCAAAACAGCAACAAAAGAATTTAATTAAAAATTATTGCATAAAAAAAGTCGCAGATTATTTGTATCTCCAAGTGACTATAGATTATGATACATATTATGAGGTGTATTTTCGATAATTAAGATGAATGCATTGACTGTTCTTATCAAAAATGTCACTGTTGTCATTCAAGAATTTTAATTAAAATTTTCAGTATAAAAGGAGATGCAAATGCAGTAAGAATTCAGTAAACAATCTTCCCATTGGTACAGCTACATCTAAAGGAACTCTCTCCAAGGATGAAGACAATATTTGTGATCCTACTTATCGTTGCTGTTGTGACAGCTGGCAAGCAGAATAAGTATCGTGGCAACCATGCAGACAACAATCAAGGAAGAGGCAACATGCAAGGATTTGATGATGGCAATAACTGCAATAATCGCAATGATTTGGACCAAAGAGATGCAAAGCGTCAATTGTTTGTCTTGAACTTGCTTCGTCACTTGACAGATGATACAAATCAGAATACACATGATAAGGACTTCCACAAATATTCACAAACCATAAACTTGGAAAATCAAAATGACTACAAGAACTTGAACAAGGTCTTCACATTGATGACTTTATATCAAGATGGATGGTTTGCAAGACGTAATCAACAATTCTCAATGTTAGATGAACGCAATATGCTTTCGACTAAGGTGCTCTTTGATTTCTTTGACACGATGACAAACTGGAACACAGTTGCAAAGAATCTAATTTGGTGCCGTCGAAATATAAATGAATATCAATTCTGGTACTTGATGACTCTTCTTGTTGAACACAATCAATTCATGAACAATATTGTCTTACCACCAGCTTATGAAGTCCTTCCAACACAATTCTTTACTGGTGATGTTATGAAAACTGGAATCAACTTGGCTCTTAATGGACACATTGATTTTATGAATAATCAAGTCGTTGTCATGCAAAACTTTACAAATAAAATTTTAGGTGGTCAGGATGATGAAGATGATGATGAGAATTACAATGTTAATGACTTGAATAAGATCCAAACTAAGATCAACAGCTGGAATAAATTGAAGCAAGTTGCACAGAATATCAAGAAACATCAACAATACACAACATTCAATAATATGCTAAATACAAGACGTGATAATAAGGACATTAAGAATATCATCAATAACAATATTCGTCAACAGAATCAAGGAAATAAGTTCAACAATAATGGTGAAGATCAAATGAATTACTTTACAGAAGATATGGGATTAAATAATCATTTCTTCTTCACACGAATTGGGAACTCACGTTTGCTCAATGACAATCAAATGTACAATAACAATAATAATAAGGAGACATTCCAGCAACACAAGAATCAAAATTTTAATGAACAACAATTAAAGGATAAGATCAATCGTCGTGGTGAGCGTTATATCTACCAAATGCAGCAACTTCTCGCTCGTTTCAATCTTGAACGGTTGTCAAATGGTTTGGATAATGTAAAGGCAATCAATCTTGATGGAACTATTGACAATGGAGTCTTCTCAAACTTAAAACTCACAAATGGTCTCCAAATTGAGAATCGTCAGAATAACTATCAATTGAATACTGACCAAAATGGAAAATTAACTCAAATGGTTCGTGATTTCGAACAAAGATTCTTTCAAGCTATTGATCAAGGATTTGTTGAAACAACTGATGGAAAGAAGGTCAACTTGTTTGATAATGATGGAATTAATATTCTTGGAGATATGTTGCAACAAAATCCAAACAGTGTCAATCAACAATACTTCCGTCAATTAGAAATGTACATGCGCTTATTATTAGGTGGAAACTATGTCCAAAATGTTGATCGTACTGATAATCGATTCACAACAACTGTTATGAGTAATCACGATACTACATTACGTGATCCAGTCTTTTGGCAAATCATGAAGCGTGTCACAGATATTGTCAATAAATACCGAGACAAATTAGTTCCTTATAATAAGAATGACTTGTACTTTAAGGGAGTTCAAATCGATAATGTTAAAGTCACAAAATTACAAACCAAATTTGATTATTTCGATGCTGATGTAACAAATGGATTCAATGGTAATGTCATTCAAATGTGCAAGACTATCAATAATAAGAACAGGAATAACAACAATGATGACTTGAATGATTCAAGCGATTCTGACAGTTCAAGCTTGAGTAGCTCAAGTGAATCAAACAGTCAAAGTGGATCTGATGAAAATAATGGCCACAAACAAAGCAGAAATGATTTGATCAAGCAAATGATGCAAAAATACAACAAAAATAACAAGAACTGGCAAGCTAGCAAAAATCAAATGAATCTAAAGAATAAAAATAACAGACATAATAAGGCAACAACCAGTAAATCATCAAGTTCAAGCAGTAGTTCATCCAGCAGTTCGTCAAGTTCCAGTTCAAGCAGTGAAAGCAATGAATCAAACTTCGTAGGACAAAACCGAGGACGAAATAATAACAACAGATATAATCGCAATATGAAGAATCAAAGAAGGTTCAACAAGAACAAATTTACTCAAAATAAGAAGAAACAAGCCAAAACCTTGAATAACCAATTCAACATGTACAAATACATCATGGGCAACCAAAACAATAAAGGTAATGCTTTTATACTTCACACCTTTATGTTTAATTAATTTCGTTAATTTTTTTCTCTGTTTAAGTAGGAAATGGATTCCAAATCTTTGTACGTCAACGTCTAATTGATACCAAGCAATTCCAAGTCCAAATCAATCTTAAATCAAACAAGAATCAACTCGGTATAGTAAGAATCTTCCTTGGACCACGAATCAATAACAAGCAACAATTGAATGATAACCGCAAGAACTTTGTTGAACTTGACCAAATTGTTGTAAAATTGAATCAAGGACAAAACAAAATCTTCAGAAACTCAGTTGATTTTAAGAATGTTGTTGATGATCCATTGACATTCCAGGAATTGATGGATCGTACAAAGAACATGATGAATGGAAATAACCAAAAATGTAATAACAACAATAAGAATCTCTTTAATGTCAATTTCGATACAAATAACAACAATCAAGGACTTCCACATCGTTTGATCTTACCAAAGGGAACAGTTGGTGGACAAGATTACACCATTTTCGTCACAGTCAATGATTTGGATATTACAAACCAAAACAATGTTGACTTAATTAATGACAATAATTGGACTAAATTCAACAAGGACAATACAAATAACAATGGTGATTCATCAAGCAGTTCAAGTTCCAGTTCATCAAGCAGCAGCAGCAGTAGTTCAAGTGAATCAAATGAATCAACTGACCGTCGTGGGTATGACTGGAATTATAGAAACTTAAATAGAAAGTATAATAAGAATAACAACATGAAGACATTGATGAACATGATCAATCAAGGAAATCAAGAACAAAACCGTGGACAGAACAAAAAGTGGATGAACAAAGATGACTTCAAGAATATGATCCAAAATATGTACAAGAATCATATTAATAAATATGAAAATAATTGGAATGGCAACAACAACAAGGTCTGGTGTAACCATCAAGGAGTAAAGATGTATAACTGCAATGATGGAAACAAGAACATTGGAAATGGAAATGGTATCCTTGACAAACGTGCCATGGGCTTCCCATTAGATCGCAATATCATCGATGTTAATGGATTCGTTGTTGACAACATGTTCTTTAAGGATGTCACTGTATTCCACAAAGACACCTACCAAACACGCAATAACAATTAACTGATCAGAACCTGAAATTCAGTACAAAAATCATTTATTCATTCTCAAAATAATGGCGATTTCTCAAATTGAGGACTCAATTTAGTTTTTTAAGCTGCAAGATTTAAAAAATTGTATCAATATGATGATTCTGTTACTTGTTGTAATCTACTATTGATACATGCCAAAAAAAAATAAAATTGTTTTCAATTATTTAACCAAAATTATTTAAAAGTTTAATCCAAAAATTCCTTTTAAGTTGACACCAAAAAAATTTACATGAAAATTTCAATTATTCCGATGTGATGCATACACAACTGTCTTTTTATTTCATTCTAGAAGACAATTTTAATGTTTACTCAAGTGACAATGTCAAAAAGAACTATATTTCTCAATAGAGTCGGTAAAATTTGAAAAAATGAGTTCCATGTCTGGATAAAATGTCTAGAATTATTCCTGTTTTGTCTAATCTATAGCTTGATAAATCGGGTCTGAACGAAATGTCTAATAAGCTGATGGCTCAACTAAACCCATGATATCATAAGCAATAGAAATAATATTGCCTATAGTATATGCATTCAATGATCGAGCAACACTATGAAGGAAGTTTATTGCTGACATGACATCATTAATCTGACTTATTGTAAAGTTTGGAACTTCGGGCAACAATAAATTTTGAATTTGAATTTGAGTTGCTGAATCGTATCCAGTTATATTTTGTAAAGCTTCTGAGATTGAAGACGTCATCGGTGGTCCATTTGGATTGAAATAGGTTATTGCTGAGATGTTTAAAACAACTTCAGTTGGAAGCATTTTAGCTACAGTATAAATTAAATCTATTTGATATACGATATCATTCATTTGCAACATAGTGACGTCTGGATGCATAGCTTTTATTAAAGCTGTAATATTATCTACAGCTTCATCATCAGGTATTGGTTGGACGAGAATAGGACTTGGAGATGGTAAAGCAATATTAGAAGCATTAGCAGTAATCACAGAAATTTTTAAAACATCATTGATTGGCAATAAGTTGGCGTAGTTAAATATTATTTGAAATGAACTTGAAATCATCATACTTTGATAAATGTTAAGATTTGGAAGTGCTGATTGTAATTCTTGTGTGATATTTGCTGTAGCCGAGGCATCAATATAACCTACACGAGTCATAAATAAATTGTATAAAATTTCCTGGATAGCTGTTGATGTATTGATTGGTACACGTTGTGCTACATTATAAACACTATTCAAAGAATAGATGATTGATTCTAATTCAGTTGTTGAAGGTGAGAATGAAAATGTTTCTGTGAAAGCTTCTGATAAGATGTCCACAATAGATGCTATAACTGATGGGGTAAAATCTGTAGTATCCTTGAATACAGGAGGTATTACTGGTAATGGTCCGGTAATGTTTGATTCAGTTCCAGCATATGAGTAGATGCTAATAATATTACTTAATTGCAAAGGAGTTGACATTACATACAAATATTCGATTGCGTTCACAAAACTTTTCAATTGTCTTGGATCAATAGTTGGAAGTGATGTTGAGATATCATTTGTAATATTTGTAACAGTCGATGCATCAAGGTATGGTGATGAATAGAAGAATTCGGCAAAAACCAGGTTATTGATAGTAGTTATAGCACTTATTGGGAGCTGTGAAGCAACAGTATATGCGATATTCATTTGGAATATTATGTATTCTTGTTGATGCAATAAAATTGATGGTATTGCTGCTAATATTTCATCCTTAATGCTTGTTGTAGTTGCTGTACTAAAGGTTAGCATATTGTCAAATGGTGCAACAGGTAGCGGCAAATTGAAACCCGATGGTGATGTAAGGATTCCCGTAATATTAATTAATATGTTCAATGGAAGTAAGCCAGCCACTTGACTCAAATTATTAATAGCATTAAGTACGGTAGACATTTGATAATTTGTGACATTTGGAAGTGCTGCTTTAATGATTTCCGTAATATTTGAATTTCCTACGGGATCAAGTGATGAAGATGCTGTTAAGCTCACATTATAAGCCAAGTCATTCAGTTGTGAGATCGATTCAACTGGCAATTGTGTGTAAATAGTATACAACACATTGATATCATTGATTGCACTATCTATTTGACTTTGAGTAATGCTAGGAATTCCAGCAATTAAATTCTCAGTAATTGAAGCAATATTTGCACTATCAAGTGGAACTATATCAAGAGGTTCATTCAAATGAATATTCGATGCATATGCTGTAATATTAGCAATATTGCTAAGCACACTTATTGGAAAATAATAAGCAACAACATACAAAACTTTGGCTGCAAGAAGAATAGTAAACCGTTGATAGCTCGTAAGATTTGGAAGGACTGATGTTATTTCTGTATCGATGGTGTTAAGAGTTGCAGCATCAAGGTTCGGAGCTAGTGAGATGAATTCATTGAAAATCACGTCATTTATGTTTGATACTACACTAATAGGTAATTGTGCAGCCACAGTGTATAGAACATTTAACTGAGAAACAATAATGTCCATTTGAAATTGAACAATTGTTGGAATTCCGGCTCTTAACTGTTCTTCGATGCTTGCTGTAGTTGTGCTGTCAAAAGTTTTCAAATTGTCAAATGGTGGTGGACGTAGCGTTACAGCAATACTTGAACTATTTGTGACGATTGATGCAATAGCAAAAAATTTATCGAAAGGCAAATCATGACTTACGTCATATAAAGCTTTTGCCGAACTTAGAATGCTGCCTATTTGAGTTTGATTAAGATTTGGAATAGCTGCTTTTAGTTCATTAGTAATGTTTGAAAGTGTTTGAGAATCAAATGCTGAATTACGTGTGACTACTGCACTATGAACAACATTCTTAATTGTGGTAATCGTTTGAATTGGAAGCTGATTATAAATAGTAGTGAATATATTTAAGTTTGATATCATAGAATCCAATTGAGTTTGTGTAGAGTTTGGGAATGCAGATTGCAAGATGTCCTTAATTTCCAGAAGAGCTGTTGGATCCAGTGAGACTATATTATCAAATGGAGGTACTGGAGGTGGCACATAAATTCCAGATCCTTTAGATGCTAATTCAAGAATGTCGTTTAGAGTATTAATTGGTAAAAACATTGCAAGTTCATAAAGGAACCTCATTGCAAATATAATGACATTCATTTGCTCTTTTGTGATATCCGGAAGTGCTGCTGATATTTCAGAGCTAATTTCAGACAATGCTGAGGAATCAAGATAAGTCTCACCAGAAATTGCTGCATTAAATGCTATATCCTGAATAGCTGCAATTGAATCATTGTTTAAGCGTAAAGCTATAGTGTAAAGGATGTTCACTTCATTAATGACGAAGTCCAATTGTTCTGAGGTAAAATTCGATATTTCTGATGAAAATTCCTGTTTGATGCTTGAAACATATGATGAGTCAAACGTGGACATATTTTCGAATGGAGCTGGAAAAATCAGAGTGGTTAAAGGCAATACAATTCCAGATGCAGAACCAACAATTTCAAGGATTTTCATAACAGAACTGATTGGAAGTGTTGATGAACTTTCAAACATGAATTTTAAGGCGCTAGTTACACTTTTCAACTGAGTTGTAGTCAAATTTGGAAGTGATGCTAATAAATCCGATTCAATAGTTGCTATAGACGCTGCGTCAAGTGATGTGGATCCAGTAACAAAAGCACTTATAAATGTATTGAAAATTGTTGCTGATGCACTAGCTGGAAGTTGTAAAACCACTGTATAGATAGTATTTATTTGAGCAATCAAGTATTCTTGTTGATTTGCAGTCATGGTTGTAATTTCTGCTAATTCTGCCTTAATATTTTCAGTTACTGTTGCATTAAATGTTGACATATTTTGGAATGGTGGCAGTTGAGGTGGTAAAATAATCCCAGATACACTAGCTGTTATCGTGGATATGTCGATAACAACTCCAATTGGTAGATTAGAAGCTACTCCATACAAAAGTTGAATTGCAGACAAGATACTTTGAATTTGTGTCTGACTAATTTGTAGACTTGATGATGATAAAATTGTAGAAATATTTGCAAGTGCAGTTGAATTAAGAGTTCCTGTGATGTAAGCTGTGTAAATAATGCTGTTAATTTCTGATGACAAAGCAGTTGGTAATTGTGTGAATAAAGTATATATAATATTCATGGCAGACACAATTTCATCAAATTCATTTTGAGTCAAATTTGGCATTGCTGACATTAGTTCCAACTTGATGTTAGCCACATCTGATGCATTAAATGAAAGCATATTTTCGAATGGATCTGTTGTATTTGCACAACTTGTTGTTGTAGTCGTAGCTTGTGTTGTTGTCTTGCGATTGCCATGATCATGGTTTTTGTCATGAGAATTGATTTTTGAGCCAACAAAGAAACATTTTTTTGCAGAATATCCTGTTAAAATTATAAAAATATCCTTTCTCGATCATTTCAAATCTTAAGATTGCACTGAGCATGTACAAACTATAATTATCTTACCATTTATCAGGATCATTAGCAAAATTGTACACAAAAACTTCATCTCTTATTTTGTTACTGTTTGAAATTCACTGTAACTATGAACCTTAATATTAAAATTTAATTCATTTTATAGATCTTCTGTTCTTTCTATATACTTTTACGAGACTACATATGTCTCAATTAATTGTGTTCATCAATTATATCATTAAAGTACATAAAATTTTCTCAGTTTTTAATGAGTTTGTGTGCGTTTCAAGTTTTTTTTTGGAGTGAAACTTAGAAATATAAATAGAATCATTAGCTTAGTTTAAAATCTTATCAATTTGGCTGATTAATCAAAACTTAAAACTCAACCATTTTTTGGCAATTTGTTTCTGTTTTACTCATAAAATTTTGATTTTGATTTTATGAATGGCAAAAAATTACTTAAAGATAGTCCAAGCTTTTATGTAACTTAGAATTGCTAGCCATCTCCACAGCTGGCATTTAACGACAATCACAATTGATATGTAGAGCAATCGAAGAATGTTAAACAGCTGTTGTTCATTTTTTAAAAATTGATCGTACTTTACATTTTTAATTTAAAATTTTTTTTCTTATTTTTTGTTTAGTCACTTTGTGTCTGTTTTTATATAAACTTGTCTTACGTTACTCTGCTTAAGGTCCACATAAAAGTGATGTTTGATATAAGTGTCATATCTTAAAATATTATTTTCTGAAAATTCATTCATTTTAAAAATTTGCGAAGGGTCGTTTGCTAATGACGTATATCAAAAATGGTGGATATTCTAATTCTTCTTCTAGTCATAAAATGTCATGTTGGTTTTGCATTACTTACTTACTTCCTTGGCTGGGGCGCACGTGGGCCCATTTCCGCACTTAAAGATCGTCTGAAGACAGCTCTATCCTTAGACACCTTCTGCCATTCGGTTTATTAAGGACTCCAGCGTCCTTTTCAACACATCCAGACCACTAGATTTTCGGTCTTCCTCGTGATCTCTTGCCATTCATAAAGTCTGCTCCTGTCACTTTTAGTACTGGGGCATCTTGTGAGCGTCTAAACACATGTCCAGCCCATCTAAAGCGATTTACACGGAGAACTTTAGCAATATCAGCTTCCTGAAATGAATGATATAACTCATCATTATGTCGACATCGATACTCTTCTCCTTCCTTCACAGGACCATAAATCGCTCGCAGTATTCGTCTTTCGAAGACACCAAGTGCTTCCTCATCCGCTTGTGTTGAATTCCAGATTTCCGAGCCATATAAGGCAATAACTCGGATAAGCGTTTTATACAGAGTGATATTAGTTTTCTGGACAGACTCTTGAACGTCCATTGTTACATCTGCTGAGGTGGTTTTGCATTAATATATTCATAATTCTCAGCCCTCCTAAATGATTGACGTCATAAGTAAATGATCCCTAAAAAAACTTAAGCTTTCCCAAACTTTCTTATTTATTCATCATCGCTATTAATTAGTACAATATCTGTTCTAAGGATGGCGATTAATCAAATAATATGCTTCCTTAATCATTGCTTTGATTGCAATCCAGCCTTCAAAAATTGTTTTCTTAAGATATGGTTCTGGAACCGTAAATCCAAGTTCTTCTAATCCACTTTCGAAAGTATATGCGAAAGGAATTCCTAATACATCCATTGCATAGTCGTCACTTCCACCAGCTGCTACATAAAGACTTGAAAGATAGAAAAAATTAAAATGATTGAATTTTGGACAAAATCATAAAAGAAGGGGAAAACAACATGATGGGATATTTCTTTTCCCAAGCATAAATTACCCAGATCCAGATTGATCAGCACCAAATCGTGTTCCTGTTCTTTCATAGACTGCCTTTACGCCAGTCGTTGCAACTCTATGGAGTAAATGTTTTCTTGCATGTGGCTGTGTTGAATATCCAGGAGGATAAAGAATCTTATTGCCGAACGTATGAATCGAAATGTACAAAAAGCACTGATCTTTATAGTTTGTCAAAATATCTCTAACAATTTGCGTTTCCACTTCAGAAAATGGTTCCGGTCCTTTATAAATATCACCACAAGGATTCTTTTCTAGTTCTCCATTTGTCCATTCAATGTCGTAGTTTCGATTGCCATCAACTCCATAACAAACGTTGCTTACTGGACGACGATTTTTTCTCCAATTTTTATCACGACTATAACTGTAAGCATATCCATCAGGATTAAGATTTGGTATAATGATGAAAGATACATTGAATAATATTCCATTGACACCAAGTTCTGCTTCTTTTCCCAATTGATAAAGAATATTCAATGCTAAGTTCCTGGAATGCCATTCACGTGCATGAATGCCAGCATCAATAAAAACAACTGGATTTTGTCTATCTCTAAATCCAAGATAAATTGAATTAATTGGAAAACCTTCATAAGTTCGACCTTCAGTGTTATATCTTACATCAAGCATTGGATATGTATTAATTATATGCTCAGTAAGTGCAAAAGCATAATTATTCATTTGCTCGTTTTTAAGATATAGTCTGTTAATCACGTCGAAACTGAATTGGTTTTGTTTAGTCAATCGTTCGATTGATTTTGAAGTCGGTCGTAATTTTTGTGAATTTTCAAATTTATACAAGTCAATGTGATGCTTTTTCAAGAGATTTAGAACTTTGTGCTTATCACAATAGTTTGTCCGGAACAATAATGTATTGTTGAAATGCCTGATTGGCTTGTCGATGATAACATTGTAGTCTGTGGTTTTATGTTGTAAATCTTCATAAAAATTATATTGTTCCTGATTTTGGATTGTAACTTTAAATAATAAATCGCTGAAATTGAATGAATCTTTTTAGTTTTTGTTGTAAGGTTTGTTGATCAGGACTTAGCCATCTTCATCTACTTACTTGTCACATTTTGATTTTAAAGACTTTTCTTTACATTCGATTGCCACAAAAATGCACAAAATAATTAAATTTTTAATAAAGCTTTTCATTCCAATAAAGCTTAATCGCGAATGCAAAATAAAATTTAAAGCGAATCTTATTCAATTTTCACGGAGAGTATTTCAATAAATTTAGTGTAAAATTTTATACTTCTGTGCTGGAATCTTGAAATTCAACTGACTTTCAACAATTATTTGCATCTTTATTTAAACAAAACAAAAATCTGTGCTGTAAGAGCTCCAGGAAATGTAAAACTTTCAACAATGGGGCAATTCTTTCTTTAAATTTACTAATAACTGTCAACATTTATAAATTATGATGATTATGGTGACTAAGGTATGGAGATAATCGTTGATGGGATTTTTTCAAATTGCTAGCGTTTTTCCATGATTTTAGGATAAAAAATTGATAATTTTAAATAAAAGTTTTGAAGTAAAATTTTACCCTAGTTATAAATCAGTGTTGCATTCTGGCCATTTGCCTGGATCAGATAAATTCTGAGACAGAAATTTCTTCATAAAGATCGATTCTGTATGAAGATAGAAAATCTAATCTACACAAAGATTCTGTCTACATAAAGATTCGATGTAGATGTCTGTAATTCTACATTCTTCTCTGATGTAGACCTGGAAAAAATGTAGAATTGTAGACATCTACATCAAATCTTTATGTAGACAAAATCTTTATGTAGAAATAATCTTTGTGTAGATTAGATTTTCTATCTTCATATAGAATCGATCTTTATGAAGAAAGTTTCTTAGCTAGACAAAAACTATTGAAGAATCTACATTCTTCATCTAGTGTAGACATCTACATTTGCAACACTGTTATGAATATATTATTTATACAACTATTAAATAAATTTAAAAAAATTATATAAAGTTTACCTTAATTTTATCACGTAATATGATGTAAATTCTCTTATTTTTAAAACTGAAACTTAATAACTTTATTGTAATGCATTTAAAAGTTTTATTTTGGTTTGCCTAAGTTTGCTTTGTTTCTCAAATAATATTCGAATGTTTAATTTATTTTATTACTAAGTTAATGTTATATTTTTTCTTGCACCAAGTCAAACTCGGAAGTATTCCAGCATTATCAATTAATTCCACATTAAAATTGCATTCCATTTTTGTGTGAAACGTAGCAACTTAATGTAAGTTTTGATATGTGAGTAAGGAAATTAATGCAATATAATGACACATTTATCAGTAGGAAGTCACACGGAAGCAGGTGTGAAGCCGTGAGATTTGGGGACACATCCCCTTTCGTCATCAGAAACTTCTTCATTTTGAAAAATGAAAAATTCACAAAAATTAAATATAAAAAAATTGTAGACCCCCCCCCCCCCCCTTCAAATTCCTGGCTACGTCCCTGGTAGGAAGTGATTCTAGACTTCCTGAAAACATACTAATAATAAACACGTACCCATAATACATACAAGGTTGGTTTTGGATATTTCTAATAGCACCAATGACTGAAAATCCAGTAATTCAATTTCTATCTTGCTAAGAAGCTGAAAATTAATTCTAATATTGTTTTTTAAAAGTATGTAAATGACAATTTAAGTATCTACTTATTATATCATGTTGAAGGCCAAAGAACTCATAAAATGATTCTGTTCATAGAGACAGTATTGAATACACAAAGTCATAAAAAGTAAAACATTTGTAGATTGTAAAATTCTGCTGTTTATTATATTATTCAGAATGAACATTTAAAATTCGAAACAAAAACTTTCTCCTGCAAAATAATCATTCAGTTTGGATATTTTCGTGCAACAGTTTCCACCATAGCTTGAACGCCGATTATTGACTGCAAAAAAAAATATTAAATCTTTCAACAATTCCAAAATTAAACTCATCTGCTTACCTCTTTAACAGTTTTCTCAATTTCACTCGCAGGCAAATCAAAGCCAAAAAATCCACCGCCTGGAAGTTCCATACAAATTGCAATTGGAATTTTAGCTGAACCATATGCATAATCAGTTGATGAGCCGCTGGCAATGTACAATGTGTTTGATACAGATCCGTATGTATATTTTGTGCCTGTAGCTTGTTCAATTGCATCTGCTCCTGCTTTTGCAACTTCATCCTGGTCTTCCCAATTTTCTGGTAAATCCTTAGTGTATCCATTTGGATAAATCAGGTAGTTGCCGTACGAATGGAATGTAAGAAAGAATTTACATTTATCCTTGATTTTCTCTATGACGTCACGACTCGCTAATGTTTCATTTTCAGAGAACGGTTTTGCTCCATGGTAAGTGTCTGCACATCCATTGTCTGAAGCACCAGCTGAACTCCATTCAAAATCATAATTTCTATTGGCATCAACACCACGACAGCTTAAAAGTCTTTGATAACTTCTCGTTTTTCTCCATAAACGGAAGAATCTAAATGTATAGTCATATCCATCAGGATTGACAACAGGCTGAATAACAAAATCCATTTGATCCAATAATTTTGAGAAATTACTTCGTGAATCCATCAGTTGATCAATCAAATAGAGCGACATTGCTGGTGCTATCCATTCACGAGCATGAATTCCGCCGTCGATAAAAACTGAATTTCTTGACTTTCCATCGCCTTTTGTAATTGTTACAGTTTTGAGGTTACGACCCTCGAATGATTTTCCGATATTTTCTACCTTTACATTACTGTTGGATCCTTCAAGCTTGTCGAGGAATTTTTCAATTTCTTCATAGCGATAATATCGATCGAAAGTAACTTCATCTGATTTTGATTGGGAGAGGATTCGGTATTCTTCATATTCCTTGTCTATGGCGCTGGAGAAAGAGATGGAAATTTGATTATTTTGCAACATTTAATAGGGTTTTGTAAGTTTTTTATAGTGGTTGAATTTTGAATTAGGGTGCGGTTTGAAAGTTTGGGTTAAATGTACATGAAGTTATTAAAGGTATTGGGACATGACCGAACAGAAGTTCTGATTTGTTCTCAGAAATATTCTTTCTTTTGCCAAAATTCACATCACGTCCCGTAAAAATTTCACATCCCACAAATATTCATTCAAACCTAACTGTATAAGTCCATGTCATCAGTTTAAGTCCAAACCTCATTCTCATTAACTTACTGCTGAATATTATTGCTGCTAACTTTATAATCCAATTTATTCTGCTTGAAGAAATTTTCCACAAATTTCTGTTCGCTCGGCTTCACGACAACTCGAGCGACATCATTAACATTATTATGTAGCGATAGAAAATCCAATTCTCGCTTTTCTACTTCATTTGTTTCAAAATTCTCAAGTAATTTTAACTCGTTCTGATTTTTAACTTTTATGTCATAAACTTTATATCCATCATAGACTTTCTTTGACACACAAAGTGCTATTATTGTCACTAATATGAATGCCTTTAACATTATTCAAAATTCAAAATAAAACAAAAGAACTGAATGCTATCACTTTAACGTACAAACAATAACTATTGAAATATTCTTGGAACATTTCAACTTTTATAATCGACACATCGCTGCGTTGGCACAAGAATGAGAAAGGTAGAATGGAAACAAGAGAGAAAGAGTAAAATGGACATTATTGTGTAAAATACAATCAATTTATTCTTTAAAGTTTATCTTCACACATAAGAAATAAAATTTATATTGTCGCTAGTGGCGTAGCCAGAGAGTCAACTAAGCAAGGGTTTATCAAACATTGAACTCAAATCATTTAAAATTGCTAGACATTAGGAACCTCCCGCTTCCTATTCATAATTCTTACTACGCAACTGATTGCCACATTATAAACGCACAGCATGAAGTTTATTTATTGAACGGTTTTGAATCGCTCTTTAATAAACAGAGAGAATTCTCGATATCCAATAAATGTTTCCTTCACTAGGTCATGTATCATGTCTTGTGGATAATCGAATCCATTTGGACCGCCTCCAGGCAGTTCTAATGTGTATGCAAAATCTGCACCTCCATATGCAATGGCGAAGTCATCGGATGCACCTGAAATAAAATATGAAATGCATAAATTAAATTGACATGATGAAATATTGATCAATAAACAAGGAAGATCTTTTAAATGAAGCTTAATATGATGGAAATGGAATGTGATGCGCATCTAAGGGGTGATTTGCTTATGATGTCTGTAAATTGATGAGTGAAGTTGAATATAATCTATGACAAAAGGGGAGGGGACTTTAAAATTCATTATTTTTGGACGTCATTAGTAAACGACATCTATGAATTTTTCGGAACTCCCTTTTTAAAGCCCTTAACGTAATTTATAAAGAACTCTTTTAGAAAACTCACCATAAGCAGTGTAAAGAATATCAGCAGAATTTCCAACTTCATATTCCGTTCCAGTTGCTACAGAAATTGCATTAGCAAACTTTTCACCCAATTTCTGATGTTCCTTATGATTCTTAATATAAATATCCATTGCAAATCCAAATGGCCAAAGCACAAGACCTCCATAAGTATGTGTACTTAAATATAATCTCAAATTATTCTTGAAACTTTCCATATATTTAGCAACAGCTGCTGTTTCTGGTTCTGAGAGTGCTGAGACACCTGGATATCCATTTCCTGAGCAGCTATTTGCAACATATCTCCACATGTATCGATAATTTCTATTCAAGTCAATGCCAGTGCATGTATAGTTGACATAATGTCGGTTTTTGCGCCATAATCGATCCTCAGTGAATGAATATTGAAATCCATCAGGATTTACGACAGGCACAAAGACATAATCTACATTATCAAGTAAGTCATTGTGGATTGTAGAATTTTCAACAAGTTGATGAAGGAAATAAAAAGCTGATTGGATTCCCGCCCATTCTCTTGCATGCGTACCAGCATCAATAAAGATTATTGGATTTAATCCAAATTCTTGATTCTTTGAGACACGAACTCCATAAATGCTTTGATTTAGATAAGACTTTCCAATCACTTCCAATTTTACTAAGTTAGGATAGTCTGTGGCTAGACGATTGAAAATTTCTTCCATTTCTGGATAACTCCAGTAATAATTAAAGTTTGGAATTCCATTTACTAATCTCAAGCTTCTTTTTGTTATCTTATCGCTCTTCAAAGTTGTCTCGACATTTTCAATTCCAATGCTGTAATTTATTTCATTTTTGTCAAGGAAGTTCACAAAATTTGACTCAATTTCAGGTGAGACCATAATACGAAATGCTTTATTAGCACGTCCATATGACCAGAAATCAATGCCAGTTTGAAATTCCCATTCCATAACAAAAGGAATTTGTTCCTTTGTTGGTGACAAATCGTAGACTTTATAGCTATTGATAAATCAAACACAATTATTCATTCATCATTTACTGCAAAATAAGTTTATTTAAATACCCATTGTAATCTTTCGCGACTGCCAGAACGACTACTGAATAAATAATGAAACTGATAAGAAGTTGTTTCATCTTGACGAAACTTCTGCTTCAAACTTGACTCACTGAACTCATTAAGTATACTAAGGTAGTTTGATATATTTCACACTTGATGTGTGACTCAATTGATTGATATAATTGCACCTGTATTGCTTATTAAATTGATTAGATTATGTCATTATCATCTTACATGTAAGAACTTTTGAAGTGTTGATCAGACTAAGGAAAATTGAGTTTCGAACTTGAAATGAACAAATCGAACGTGGCTGTTCACTTATTTCTTACAGTTTTAATTTATTGAATATCAAATTTGATCTATTATTTCAGATTCAGCATAACACTTTTTAATTCCATCACATTTTGAAAACCTAGATTAAATCTGTGGATTCAAAATTATGCGTCTTGATAATTTGATTTTTTGAGAGATTTTTTTAAAATGACCAAATCGAATCTACTCAAATTGAGGATACCAAGTAGAACAAAATATGTTTCTAACGCAGTAATTAAGAGGCCTCATCAAAAAACGAAGCTATAAATTATGAGATTATAAAAACCATTCTTCCTTCTTTTGGAAAAATCTGGCTGCACCACTGAATCATCCTTAAAAAAATTCCCATATTCAGTTTTTTTACGATTCTTCATCTTTTCAAAAATAAAATGAATTAAATTATCTTTTTAAGTTTTAATTCATAATCTTAGCAATAGATTATTTAATTAAATCGATAAGATAAGCAACTTATTTTAGAGTTATTTATATTTGTATATGATAAAGAAATTTTTACAGTCTTTGATTCGCACGACAAGCTACCGAAAAGACTAGTTTATAGTAAACTAAATGTTCATTCATATTAATACTTGAGACATGCGATAACAAAGTTTATAAAAGCGGATAAAAGCCTTTTAGTTTATTGAAGAGTGTAAAGTCTAGACACTAAAGATTTTATGAACTGGAAATAAGCAGATCTGTATCATCGATTTTTTTGGTAATGAACATTGAACTTGTTGCTTTACTTTTTGTTTGGATTAGGTACATATATTGAGAATACTCTGTTTTGTAAAATATTCAAATTATCATCAATTTTATTCTTTCATCCTTAAAACTATTTATCACAAATGTTTTTAACCAAATCTATTTCCAATATATAATCCGAAAGATCGATAACCGATGAAAGTTTCCTCAGCTAATGCAAGAATTCTCTCTTCTGGATATCTAAAGTCAAATCCATCAGTCAACTCAAGTGTATAAGTAATAGAAGCTCCATGAATAGCAAGCATATGATCATCAACAGCTCCATTAATATTTCCAAAATATTCCAAGCTATTGACAACATAGTAATCCTTTCCAGTTGCTGCAAGAACTGCATCTCTCCAAATATTTCCAACATTAACGAGTTCATCCCAATTTTCAATTCTTCCTGGTGCATCAGTGTAGCCCCATGGGAACAAGACTAAGTCACCAAAAGTATGGACACTCAAGTACATCTTGACTTGTCCTGCATAACGTTCAACGACATGATGAAGTTGGTAATCTTCTGGTTCCGATAGTGGAGATGGTCCTGGATAAGTTTGACTTCCACACTGTAAAATTAAGATCGATAAGGCTTATTCAGGTTTACAAAACTAGAATATAAACTTACAGGTTGAGATAAAGTTGCAGCTCTCCAGGTGAATGCAAAGTTTCTGTTCAAATCGACTCCAGTGCAAGTCGCTGTAACATTTCTTCGATTTTGACGCCACAATCGCTGAGTATTTCTTGAAAATTCATATCCATCTGGATTTTGCATTGGAATAATCAGCCAGTCAACTCTAGCTAATAATTCAGCACTTGTGACTGGATCTTCAACTAATTTATGGATCAAATACAATGTTGTTGGTGGTGCGGCCCATTCTCTAGCATGCATGCCAGTTTCCATAGCAATAATTGGTCTTTGACCAAAAATTGGATTGCTGGAAACTTTTATAGCATAAATTGGACGTCCTTCTGGTGAGAATGCAAGATTTTCAACTTGAATAAGATTTGGGAATCGATCACGCAAGCCGAGAAGGTATGACTGCATTTCAGTAAAGCTCCAGAATACACTAAAGTCAGCTTGTCCATCAATTTTAAAAGCTGATTTTGTTTTTCTCGTTTCTGCCATTTGTTCACGTTCCTTTTCAAGTTCAACTTCGTAGTCTTGATAAATCACATTATGTAGGATGTTATTGAGTCTGAGGAAAGCCTCGAATTCTTGTTGCTGTTCGGGTGCAATTAAAACTGTTGACGCACGTCCAGCACTCTTTCTTTTAAAGAAATCAACACCTGGTGCACCTTCCCAAGCAGAAAAGCCATCATATTGATCAACATTTGGAACTACTTCGTAAAGTTTGTAGCTTAAAATTTCAAATAGAGAGAGTTCATTAAGATAAAATGATTTACAGGTAGTTTGGCGGAAGCTGAGGGTGCTTTTGAATTTAATTGAGTGTTTTAAGGTCTTATATTAACTCTCAATGCCTCCAAGCTATGGCAAGATAGTTCGTGTGATGTTTGTAAGATTAAGTCACTACTTCATAGTATTTTAGTCGAATGAACAGCCTTCCATCTGTCAGTATGACCTGTCACTAACATTCAATCTATTAACATAAATTCCTAGTTCATAACTTACTTCCTATAGCTCACATAGCCATTAGCAGCCATAAAAAGTGAGACTAAAATCAAGAGCAAAACTTTCATGTTCACTTTTTTTCCTTACAGCACGAAACCACAAAATGAACTGAAACAGTTGAAAATTCTATGCCTTTTATTTAATTAGCGGTGTATTTTTTCTTCTAAATGACTTCTCAATGATTAATGAGCTTTTTGGAGATTAGGAATATACTTGAGATAAAAATTGTTAAGGCATAAAATTTAAAGAATGTCAATGTATAAGTATGTCTGGAAAAGCCTTTAAATGCAGTGATAAAATTCAATGATTGACGCGTCATGAAGGTTGTTTTGAAGGTGATTTAGGAACAAAGGTTAAGATTTATGCCTGATTCTAAGCATTATGAATTTCATCAAGGCTTTCATCGTGAAACCATCCTCAAGAGTATCAGCGAATGTCACCCTCTGACCATTTTCATGTTCCACTCACACTTCATTAATTTTCTAATTCACATCTTCGTTATCATCTTGCAAGTCATTCATAAGAACATATAAAAGATGTCAGAATTAAGAGACTTAAGTTATACTTAGAGTCTTATCAGTGAAATTAAAAATCAAAACATATGTATTAAGAGGTTTGAATCATCGCTCAATAAGACCGCGAGTTAATCATTTGATATTAATAATACTTTAAATCAAACCATATCAATCAATATTGCAAGGAAGAAGCCATAAACCAATAATCATCAAAAAGTTCAGCTAAGACTGCTTAACACCATTTAAGAATAACAAAGCTTATTGCTAATTTTTGTAGTTAATTTTTTATTTATTTTTTTTATCAATTGAGTATCAAGATCTAAAGAAAGAAAGGAATTTAACCATAAGTCTCTCCAATAAACAGAGCCATTGCTCGATATCCATGGAATGTCTCAAATGCTAAAGCTTCAATTCTCTCTTCTGGATATTGGAACTGGAAGCCGCTTGTCAATTCGAGGGTATACACATAAGGTACTCCATAAGTTCCAGCCATATGATCATCAACAGCTCCAAATGCATTGCCAAGAACGTCAGCAACATTTCCTACTTGATAGCTTCTACCGCCATTTGCTAAAATTGCATTTCTCCATAGATTTCCAAGTGCTTGATGCTCAACATGAGTTTCAATCCATCCAGGAGAGCCTGAATATCCCCATGGCCATAAAACCATATCACCGAATGTATGAACACTAAGGTAGAGTTTCATATTGTTTGCATATCTGCCCATAAGATTGTTCAAATGGAAGGATTCAGGTTCGGATAAAGGTGATGGCCCTGGGAAGGTTTGACTACCACACTATTGGAAAATAAGAAGGAATAAGTAAATAGGCAAATTAAGGTCTTAATGATTACTTACAGGTTGAGTCAATGTTGCAGCTCTCCAGCTGTACGCATTATTTCTGTTTAAATCGACACCGACGCATGTAGCAGTGACATTTCGACGATTCAAACGCCATAATCTATTAGTACTTCTTGAAAATTCATATCCATCAGGATTTTGCATTGGAACAATCAACCAATCAACTCTAGCCAATAATTCAGTTCGTGTGCTTGGATTCTCAATCAATCGGTTGAGTAAATACAAAACTGTTGGTGGAGATGCCCATTCACGAGCATGCATGCCAGATTCCATACCAATAATTGGTTTCTGTCCAAAAACTGCCCCACTTGAGACTTTCATGGCATAAATTCTACGACCTTCTGGTGAAAATGTCATCGTTTCTAAAGTGACAAATTGTGGATATGTGTTTGCTAAGAATGTACAATAAGTCTCAATTTCTGCTGCAGACCAAAATACTGAAAAATCTGGTGTCACTCGTGGAAGTGCTGTTGCGCGCTTTTGTCTCGATTTTCTTAAACTTTGTCTCTCTGCTTCAATAGGTCCTTCCATATCCTCAATTGCAACTTCATATGGAATTTGATTAGCCAAAAGGAACTCTTCAAAATCATTAATTCTTTCTGGTGAAATCATGACTCGTGACATCCTACCGGCTGCATATAATCTCCAAAAATCAATGCCTTCTTCATATTGCAACATGGAAAGTGCTTCATATTGAATTGTATTCGGAACTACATCGTAAACTTTATAGCTATTTAAATTAAAAGTTTATGTTGACAGCGATCGACAATAATAAAGCAATTTACTTACCCCTTGTAAGTTTCGTAGCCATAAAGACCACCGAGAAGAGCAATAAAGGCCAGAAAATTGAGGTAATGTCTCATTTTTCTCTTCCTACTTCATAAAAAAATCGAAAATGAACTGAATCTTGCCGACAACAATTCACGACATTTTATACACATTTACAGACGTCTTATTTGTATGATGATAAAAATACCGTTCGATTTTGACAAGTTTGAACAGTTACACGTATGTGTATATATTTAAATCTTTCTCACATCAACAATTCTTTCTTACTATCGTCCGAGTAGTTCACGTGTGGGATTTATCAGAAATTTTTGGTAGATGCTTGGATTTTGAATTTTAGCTAAGGGGAAACTTAGGGTTAGGCTATATAATTGGGGAGGATGCCACAGTCTTTTTATGACGTAGTCTTCGGTTAAGCTCAGTTCTTGAGAAATTTACCAAACTAGAGACAGCAGACTTATTAAATACCTGAAACTTGTTCTAAGAACTAAGAGCAAAGACAAAGTCTTGATTTTAAAAACAAGCTGGGTTCAATCAAATCCAGTATTGTCTAAACTGAGTGTGCCAAAGAAAAAATCAGGAAATGCAACGAAGCACATGCTGTGTGCAGCTTCAATCATGGACTACTACCAAGGTTTACCAATATTGATAACTAAGCTAAAACTTTGACAACCTCAAAAAAGATTCATGCACCGCTCGGCACTGTTCCACAAAAATCAATTTTATTTATTTTAATATAAAATACCCGCGAGCATTAATTCACTTTTATTGATGATTTAATTGATTAATTACTCATTGTTGAGTGGCGGTTTAATTTATAAGTGGCTCATTGAAACTGAAAATACACAAAAAAAACGCTGAAAGGTGATAAGCGAGAATGAAAGATTAACGTGATTAGGTGCACCAATTATGAGGCAAACTGCGAATGAAAATAAATTTTGGGTTTTTTTTGATGAATTTTACAAACGTGACGTAGTGCTTTATTATGGGTATTTTTGTTTGTGTATTGTTCTATTATTTTCAATGTATTGATTTATGAATTAAAGGTTAATGAAATTTTAGTCGATGACTTGTGGACGAAGAGAAAATAAATTGTGAAAGGAATAATGAGGCGCTTCATATTTATCATGCATATTAACTTCAATTGAGTGTGTAATTCTGGTTAATGAGCTCTGAAGTGTTGTTAACATGTTTTCGATTATATCATGCATTACTTTAGATATACGTTATGCATACTCGGAACTAGAATTTACATTTTTAATGTATAAAACACGTGAACTGCCGTCGGAACAAGAATTGACTTAGTTTGACACAAAAAAATTAATTTCTAAAACTACTTTTTTGGAAATGACCAAATAAGCCGGTGTCGTGTCTTCAATTTTTGTATACTCACTCACTCTTATATTATAAAGAACTGTCTGGTCGACTGTCTCAAAGCAAACTAGGCTATTTTTCCTTTCATGCGTTTTGCTGAGTTTATGGAATAATTATCACTTTGAGGCTTTCCATTTCTATTTACTGAGATGATCTCGAGCTCTTTGAGAATGTATAAATATTTGATCAGGGGTTGAGTATCTTATTATTTGATCATGTTGATATTTAGACGCTTTTACTTCTAGTGTCGATTCAAGACTGAAGCACATTGAAGCACAGCTTGAATACAAAACTGAGAAAAAAATAACGAACAAGATAACTAGAATTAATAGCAACACATTTATAGTTTTTTAAAGTAATTTTTTAATTTAATTTAACATGATTTAAACAAAGTTGTAAAAAATTGCTAAGTATGTAATTGCCTGGGATTCAAACGTGAGCAAAACCTACAAAATCATATCTTATTAAATTCAAAACAATTCTTCAAACAAAATTTGACTCAAATATCAGCAAATTAATTAAAACTCAAAAATTTTACACATCTACCAGAATTCAAAATTCAATTAAATCAAGCTTGTTAGCAGGAAGTCCAAACAAATTTCTAATAACGAAATTTTCATCTCCAATCATTTACAATTTCCCTAACCACAGACAACAAAATTATGTAAGCCTTATATTAAGCAATACTCAATTACATCAAACGAAAATATTTGAAGCACAAATCAGTTGTATTTCTGTCCAACAGCTTGAATCATTGCAAAAATTCCAATCGAACTTTCGTGTACTGTCTCATCAATTTTACTTGCAGGCATGTCAAAGCCATTTTGACCACCGCCAGGTAATTCCATTGTAATTGAAATTGGGACATTGAAAACAGCAAACATGTAATCGTCACTTCCACCAGCTGCAGCATACAATACGTTTGTTGAGCTTCCAACTGTGTATGTTGTTCCAGTTGCATTCTTGATAGCTGACGCTCCAATTTGTGCGATATCGTCAAGATCCTTCCAGGTATCTGGTAGCTTTGATGTATAACCCCATGGATACAGCATGTAATTTCCATAAGAATGAAGAGTCAAATAAAATTTGCATGTGTCTTTGATTTCACCAACAGCATCACGCAGTGCCTGTGTCTCTTTTTCAGAAAATGCTTTATTACCACGATAAGTCTCCATACAAGGAATGGGAGAAGCTCCAACCTCACCCCAATGAAAATCAAAATTTCTATTGCCATCAGTTCCAACACATCCCGGAATATTTTTACTTCTCGTTTTTCTCCACAGTCGTTCCTTTTTGTGTGTATATTGATATCCATCGGGATTTACGACCGGATTAACAACAATATCGAGAATATTGAGGATTTTTGCCATCGATTCGTCATTCAGAAGTTGTTGAACGACATAAAGTGCAGTTGCAGGTGCAATCCACTCACGTGCATGAATGCCAGCATCGATGAAAATTGAATTCTTCTTTTCAATCCCATCACCATTAGTAATTTTTATTACTTTTATATCACGTCCCTCGTATGATTTTCCAATGACTTTTACCTCAACATTTTTATGTGATGATGCTAGACTATCGAGATATTTATTTATCTCATCATGTTCATAATATCGATCGAATCTCATTTCATCAGAATTCATGCTCCTTCCCCAATGAATGCTTTTCATTTTTAATTGATATTGACGTTCTTCATTTATTACGCTGGCGGGGAGAAAAAAAAATGGTTTGTTCATTATTGACGTCTAGCTTAGAGGGGCTTAGAGTACAAAAATATTTTACAGAGGATGTGCTGCTGGAGCTATTGCTCAATGGTTTTGTCAAGTGGTTTATTGAAATTTAAACTTTTAAGCGATATTGCGGGCTATAAAACATTTCATATTACAGCTGAAAATTTTGTATGTACGGTTTTTTAATTTAATGCTACGCTGCATACAGCTATGCTTTAGTGCCAGCTGTAATTTAGTGTCAAAAAGAATAAAAGCTCAGCTAGATTCACATGGTACATGCAGAATATGCTAGCTTTGCCTTTGATGCTGTCTGTACGCGCTTGCTAGTGTTATCAAAATTAAACCAATTGCATAGACATCATTCACGAACAATCCCCAAATAAAAATAAATTCACAATGCACTTACTTTTCTAAATCCATTATTGATACTCTGTATTGGATATTTCTATTTGCGAGAGATTTTTCGAACCAATTTTGTCGATCTGGTTTAACCATGACAGTTGACACACTTCCCACGGTGCTTTGTAGTGACCAAAAATCGAAACTGTCATCATCATCTACTTCAGTTAATGATTTAAGGAAATTCACATCGTTTTGTGTCCCTAATGTGACTTCGTACACTTTGTAGCTTTAAAAACATTTTTAGAAATTTTTTGATTTTAATTGAAAAAATTTAAAAGTTTCAAAAAAAAAAATCAAATTTAGCGTTAATTGAAAAACTTTTTCAATCTACAAACCCATCATATGTTCGATGCGAGTCACAAAAGGCAATGATTGGCATCATCAAAAGAAGAATTGAAAATTTCTCATTAAAAATTTTCATATTTTTTTATTTTTGCTGCACTTTTTAACATGCAAAGAACTTAATTGACAGTGAAATTGTAACGATATGAGGTCTTATTGTGACTACATAAATGATTTTTATATGCGTTAGAATTCGCAATCAGCAGGAGGAGTTCAACGATTGTTGATTGTCGTCGTGTCGAAAGAGTTGAATAAATACTTGTTGTAGATATTTAAAATAAGTGGAATTTGCTGAAAAATGGGAAATTCATATGAAGAAATGTTGAGGATGTTCACAATCGAGATGCTTTTTAATTATTTAATATATTAAATTTTTCGGAAATATTTAAACTTCGAGCCCATTCCGAAGCACATATCCATAATATTGTAAACAGCAAACACTTTGCGAATTCTTATCTGTGCCTTCATTACTAGCATGTCAATAAAATGTAATGAAACTTTCGTTTATACCATTTTTTTATTACCTCTTCAAGTGATATTAATTACATTGAAAATTATTATAAATTTTTGAACTCAGACTTAAAAAAACTTTTTTACTTAATTTCAAACAAATCATATTAAATGTTGAGATCAAGGGTCAGAACCTAAAGTCGTAATCCCAATCCAAGAAATTGTGAAAATAAAATAATTAATAATTTTTCAGACTAGTTCAAACTTTTTGATTTCTTGCTTTGAATCTTTTTTATTCAAAGCAATTTGCTTTAATTTGGAGCAAATGAGACCTGAAATTATGTTTTGTTTTACAAAATTCAAACAAAAAGATTTTTTGTACACGTTGAATTATTATGTTTTATTTTGACCGCCTTTAAAATTTACAAATTAGAAGCAGAAAACATAAATAGGCATTTCTAGTTGATTTCCTTTACAATAACAATCAATTTACCAACAAACTTCTTGATACATGATTTTAACGCAACCCAGAACCACTTTTTTATCTACAGCTACAAAGTCACTGCTGCTTCCAATTTGATTGTCGTCGGCACTTTTGATGACTTCAATGTTCATTGATCCAGCCATATCCTTAATATCTTCTCTGATAGCTCCTTGAATGGATTACACGAATTATTACTTCCTTAATTTATTTATTTGATCAAAGTTCTTACCAGCATTGACAATGTTGAATGTGCATGCCAAAAGAATGACTGCAATTGTACAAATTATTGTGAATTTCATCTTTGAATTTCAATTAAATTTTCAATTTTGTGACTTAATTCTTGTTTAGACTATCTTTAGCTAATGATGATTTACAGATAGAATCTTGAGGATTTTATAGTAAATTATTAGATTGAGAACTTGTGAGACTAATCAATTATTTTTCTAATCGCTGTCTTTAATCCATTCATATTGAAATAATCAAGTATTTATTATGGAAATTCCTTCGCATAATACCAAAAATGGTGAAATAATTATTTATTTTTTATGCACAAGATCCTGTTTGCAATCTGAGTATAATACTTTACAGATTTCATTTCCATTTTCATTTAATTTATAACTTACGAAAACTTTCTTCAAATCTTGATCACAAAAATAAATCCATTTTTCATCTTGATCAGATATAATCAGATATAAAATAAACCAGAACATGAAACTTGATTAGCAAAATTTTCACACAAAAAACTTCACCTGTTCAGATCAATTGTGATCCAGAAGAGAGTAGCTAATGTGAGTTTAAAGATTGAAGATGCGCCAAACTATTTCAGTTTAAATTGGTATCTGAACCACTCCTTTGATGGTTATTTTACAATAGTTTCCTGTAGCTTACAAAGTAAGGCTGTGATTTTCATTTAAAAAACATGCGAAGAATTTCACATACTAAGTCTCGAACCCATGATTAGTGTGCATTTCACCACCGAGCCACTTCAGCTCACAATGCTTTCACATATCTAAGAAAATAAACATGGATAGATGTAAGTCAGGGTCAACTAAACTTTAATGAACTTTTTCTCATTTAAATTATTTTCCTTCCCATAAAATTAAACTTAATCAAAAATATTGTCACATAAAGCAGGATGGTACAAAGATGAAAATGACATATTATTGACGAAATGTTAAAAGTATTATCAGAATCAATCTATAATATGAAATTAAATAAAAACGATTATTTCACCACTTTTGGTATTATACGAAGGAATTTCCATAATAAATACTTGATTATTTCAATATGAATGGATTAAAGACAGCGATTAGAAAAATAATTGATTAGTCTCACAAGTTCTCAATCTAATAATTTACTATAAAATCCTCAAGATTCTATCTGTAAATCATCATTAGCTAAAGATAGTTTGAACAAGAATCAAGTCACAAAATTGAAAATTTAATTGAAATTCAAAGATGAAATTCACAATAATTTGTACACTTGCAGTCATTTTTTTGGCATGCACATTCAACATTGTCAATGCTGGTAAGAACTTTGTTTAAATAAATAAATTCAGGAAGTAATAATTCCTGTAATCCATTCAAGGAGCTATCAGAGAAGATAACAAGGATATGGCTGGATCAATGAACATTGAAGTCATCAAAAGTGCCGACGACAATCAAATTGGAAGCAGCAGTGACTTTGTAGCTGTAGATAAAAAAGTTGCTAAAGGATGCGTTAGAGTCATGTTTCAAGAAGTTTGCTGGTAAATTGATATTTATTATCAAGTAAATCAATTAGTAATCAATCAAGGCGCTGTAAATTTTTAACGCATTCAAAAATAAAATAAAATAATATTTATTTAAAAAACAAAGTTTTTAAATTTTTTTTCAATCAAAGCCATTTTAAAATTTAAGAAAGGAAATTTTATTTTTTTAAACTATTCAAAAGATTAATCTTAAGTTTCAACACTGACTGTTTTTAACTCATTTTTAAAAACTTGTTTTCTTAAAGGTAAATTAATAATTCACTTTGCTCGTTCATTCGACAATCGCAAAAGTTGAGATAAGAGGACTCATTAATCAGACAACTCAGAGTAATTTTTAAAGAAATCAAACAGGTTCATGCCTTAAAACAAAAGTAAAGTTTTTGTTTCTGGTATAACTATATTAGGTTCTACTTGGAACACGAAAAGTGTTTCTTTCTGTCGGTCAAATTTTGTCATCCAACCTACAGCTCCACCGTATTATTCAAAAGTAATGATTTATATGTCAGAATTTAGCCCGTCTAGTGTCGTCTAGTGTCGCCTAGTGTGGTGGAAATTATGGCGCTTTGCATGCATTTTTTTCAAACCATAGTGCTTGATGGAAGATTTTTGCGAAATCTCCATACAAACACTCTATTTACTTTAACTTTTTTTAAAGCCTTAAAAAAATAACTTTATATTTTTTTATTTATTTAGAATCTCATTGGGAATCGATTGACACCAAAATCATAATATTTGATGCTAGTCCAGATCGAGTAGAGCGCAAAAACTAGCTTTTTTGGAGGCCTTAATTGAAATTGTTCTGATTTGAAACATTTTTTCTCATGTGAAGGCTGATTCGATAAAATTTAAAAGATTAATTTTTGGACATAAAAGTTCATTTTTAATATTAACAAAAAGGTTTCCTTATAAAAAATTAATTATTTCATTTTATTTTTAAACTCGTTAAAAATTTACAAATTAAAGGCAGAAAACATAAATAGGCATTTCTAGTTGATTTCCTTTACAATAACAATCAATTTACCAACAAACTTCTTGATACATGATTTTAACGCAACCCAGAACCACTTTTTTATCTGCAGCTATAAAGTCACTGCTGCTTCCAATTTGATTGTCGTCGGCACTTTTGATGACTTCAATGTTCATTGATCCAGCCATATCCTTGTTATCTTCTCTGATAGCTCCTTGAATGGATTACACGAATTATTACTTCCTTAATTTATTTATTTGATCAAAGTTCTTACCAGCATTGACAATGTTGAATGTGCATGCCAAAAGAACGACTGCAATTGTACAAATTATTGTGAATTTCATCTTTGAATTTTAATTAAATTTTTATTTTTGTGACTTGATTCTTGTTCAAACTATCTTTAGCTAATGATGATTTACAGATAGAATCTTGAGGATTTTATAGTAAATTTTTAGATTGAGAGTTTGTGAGACAAATCAATTATTTTTCTAATCGCTGTCTTTAATCCATTCATATTGAAATAATCAAGTATTTATTATGGAAATTCCTTCGCATAATACCAAAAATGGTGAAATAATCGTTTTTATTTAATTTCATATTATAAATTGATTCTGATAATACTTTTAACATTTCATCTTTGTACCATCCTGCTTTATGTGACAATATTTTTGATTAAGTTTAAGTTTTATGGTAAGGAAAATAATTTAAATGAGAAAAAGTTCATTAAAGTTTAGTTGACCCTGACTTACATCTATCCATGTTTATTTTCTTAGATATGTGAAAGCATTGTGAGCTGAAGTGGCTCGGTGGTGAAATGCACACTAATCATGGGTTCGAGACTTAGTATGTGAAATTCTTCGCATGTTTTTTAAATGAAAATCACAGCCTTACTTTGTAAGCTACAGGAAACTAATGTAAAATAACCATCAAAGGAGTGGTTCAGATACCAATTTAAACTGAAATAGTTTGGCGCATCTTCAATCTTTAAACTCACATTAGCTACTCTCTTCTGGATCACAATTGATCTCAATAGGTGAAGTTTTTTGTGTGAAAATTTTGCTAATCAAGTTTCATGTTCTGGTTTATTTTATATCTGATTATATCTGATCAAGATGAAAAATGGATTTATTTTTGTGATCAAGATTTGAAGAAAGTTTTCGTAAGTTATAAATTAAATGAAAATGGAAATGAAATCTGTAAAGTATTATACTCAGATTGCAAACAGGATCTTGTGCATAAAAAATAAATAATTATTTCACCATTTTTGGTATTATGCGAAGGAATTTCCATAATAAATACTTGATTATTTCAATATGAATGGATTAAAGACAGCGATTAGAAAAATAATTGATTAGTCTCACAAGTTCTCAATCTAATAATTTACTATAAAATCCTCAAGATTCTATCTGTAAATCATCATTAGCTAAAGATAGTCTAAACAAGAATTAAGTCACAAAATTGAAAATTTAATTGAAATT